GAGTAGAATTCACACGTCCCAATGTCGATTTCTGCTCAGCACTCACACTGTTTATTCAAACATTCATGTCTTCTGTTAATGGCCGAGAATTTTCCAAAACAGCCCTTCCCAGTTCTATTCCTTACTTCTGAAACTATTAAGTTTGTTAGATCTTTTCATTTTGTCCTTCTTGACTTCCAGGTTCTTTCATATATTTCATCTCCTCATCTCTATGCGATATTCCAGGCAATCTCTTCACCATCTATCCTCCAGTTCACCAATCCTCTCTTCAGCTGAGCCCCTTAGGGTGCCTCCCAGGGCTAAGGCATTGTGTGCTGTTTTCCTACTCTGCATTTCAATTTCTTATTTTTGGATCACTGGGTGTTTTTTAAAACTCTCTTGGATGCTCAGCTACACATTTGATAGCTGCTTATTTCATTCTAGCAAGCATCTCTAGGTAATTAAGAGTAGGTAGTCTTCCAGGTTATCTTATAAAAGCCAGTGCCACAAACAAAAATTCTAGTATCATGTTTTGCACATACTTTTTATTTGTTGAATAAGTGAATATTTGTCACTATGTACATAAACACATAGAGCGAGCACTAGATTGAGAGCAAGAATACTTGGGTTCTAACAGCAAAGCCACTTACCAGCTATGAGGGGCTTAGGCAAAGAATCTGATCTGAGCTCAGCTTCCTCAACTGTAACACTGGGCTATTAAGACCTGTGCAGCCCACCTCATGGTTTATTGCAAGGTTCAAATGCAGAAACATATGAAAGTGCCATGAATACAACTTAAGAACAATACAGGTATAAATAGAACAAGTAACAGCAATCGAATTCAAGTTGAGAAATACTTAATCATGTCCTTGGGTTAAACCAACGTACTGATGGAGTCAACAAGAAAGTGACAAAATAGCTGACTGCTAATGAAAATGAATATGCCATCCTTCTGCTGGGAAGAAGTCTGCAATATCCTGTAGCCTATCCCTGCAATGAATCACTTCCTAAACTTCATGAAGACGTCAGAGATCCACTATCAATAACTCTCTCACAGAAGCACAAGGGCCAAATGTCCCACGTTTATTTACATGTGAAATGTGTTTAATACAGTTATGATGGATGTAGTGCATTAACACCGACAGCAGCAAGACCTTTTGAGGAACCGAACATTGACTACAGTATATCATGCAAGTATCTATATATACACAAAAGAATTTCTCTTAAAAAAAAAAAGTACAAAACATGTTTAGGGATAAATACAAGATATAAAATGCAAAAGAAAACACAAAACAAAAACTGAAAAATATAACTCTCCCAGAGAACTATAAATGGAAGGGACAGAAGAGTAAGTACCTCAGCTGCACTTCAATAAAGCAGAACTACTGATATTAAAGGGACCTGTTGACATGACTGAACGAAAACCAGGCGGCTCAGTGCTTAATCTAACGGCCCGTTGTGACACGCGAGCTGCTGCATTGATAAGTCAGTGGTTGAAGTTGCGCATCCCAACTCTAAGTACCAGAACGTTTGGCAGTAGCACCCAGATCAGGAAATGCCAACTCTTTTAGACAGCAAAGGGTTAAGTCAACTGTGATTTCCTTTTTTTTCCTGTCAAGAGCCAGAGTAATACTTGATATTTTCCATTGAGTTTTTGTAATAGTTAATTAATAAATCACGAGAAAAACCTGACAATGTAAATCTATTGGTCTAACTACACATTTGTAACTGTTACAGTACTCCAGCCCTTTCGCGACTTTTACCTCCTTGTGCTCTTTAAGCCAGCCTTGCAGATGTGCCCAGAGAACAATCAGTCCCCATTTTTGCCTTCAGAACACCTGTCTTCCCCATTCTATGGTGGAATTAAGGAAAATCCACATTCCTTACTGGACTTCTGGCCTACGTTTTTGTCCACCACTGGGAAAGAAGCTACCTACAAGGCTTTCAACACCGCTTGCCGTGGCCTGGAAGGAAAAAACGCCACACGCCGGAGTGCATTTCTGTCTGAGAGCGCACTCTTTTGAGCAGGCACGTTGAGGGTAGTGCTAAGACACTTAAAAGTCCCTAGTGTTTCGAGACCCACAATCACCTACAGTTTATGTAGTGAAGTCTAAAAATTAAAAACACTAAAAAAGGCATCATCTTAGCCTGTAATTAGTTAACCCATTCAAATCTGTAACATACAAAATGGTTTATTTGAATTCAGGAACTGCCCCTGTTACTAAGAAGTTGGTTTTAAAGAAACGGTACAAAAAGAAAAGTCTAACCCCAAAAAAAAGAAAAACAAAACAAAACTCAAAATATTTTCCACTAAATACTGATACAAACATGTAACAAAGAGTATAAAAAGTTATTCATTTAAATATATACAAACTCTTTTAAACTCAAATACTGTTTTAATACTTATCGAGGATATACATGACGAGGTGGAGAAGGTACATTGAAAGAGAATATATTGCAACAGCCTAGACAGTACTGTTAACTCTAATATACTGTGAACTTTCCGTAACAAAAGTGTCTTTTTTTGATTCCAATGTGGACAGGGATCTTCCCTCTGGAAGGTCTGTGGCTATTTCTCAGCTGAACTCACTCTTTTGGATTTAATGAAGGCCATGCCGTGTGTCCGCATGTGAGCGTTTAAGGCAGCTTCCGTTTCAAATGTTTTTGCACACACTTTGCACTTTCGGTCTGACACCGCACCATCGGCCGTCTCGTCCTCGAGGCTGGGCTTATTCTCTTGCTGGTTGTCCTCCCCGGAGCCGTTCTGCTTGGATGCCGGCTGCGGCTCCTTCAGCTTATGCACGATGAAGAGGTGCCTGGACAGGGAGACGTGAGACGTGTAGCAGAGGCCACACTCCCGACACTGGTAGGACGAGCCATCCGATTTGTGCTGAGGGATGTGTTCGTGGAACTGCAGCAGGTTTTCGGTGGTGAAGCCACACACAGCACATTTGTGAACCTTAAAAACGTTTATCTTTAGCTTTTTCAGTGGTTGAGTAATTGCTCCTCTGGGAGGTCTGAACTCTAAAACTGGTTCTTCCAACTTCCGCTTGGGACTGGGAACCTTTGAGAAAAAAACAGCATGGATGACACACTGAAAACTATGCTGCTCTATGGCTGATTAACGATCAGCTCTCTCAGACTTGAGAGCTGCTAGGAAAACGTGTGTGGTGAGCACACTGGGAATTTGCAGTTTATTCCAGCTGCGAGTCTGCCCCCCGTTTACAGAGACCCATGCCCTCCATCCACTCCACAAGTAGCAACCAGGCCCCTATGTCACTGGGCATCCCTGGGCCAATGAGCCCGGCAGCGGACCAACAAGTCCCCTGCATTCATCAACTAGGAGCCAGACACACAACAAATGTGCAGACCTACAGTGTGCCAGATACAGGAAGCAGAGTAGGGCCCGGACTGTTAGGTTCCGTAGTGCGGTCAGGGACAGCCCCAGCGATGGCAACGTTGGAAAACAGGCCTGCTGTGGGGAGGGCGTGAGCTATGCAGCCATGTGGGAGGAAGGGTGCAGGTCTGTGGGACCCAGACTGTGAGCTGCGGGGACAGAGGGAGGCCAGGGGACAACAGGGGGACCAGGTGAGTGTGCAGATGAGGCCTGAGAGGCATGGGGCAGTGGACTAAATCGCACCTTACGGAAGAAAAAACATCAGGACTTTGGCCTTTTCTGCAACCATGCAGGAGGAGGGGCACTGAAAACCCAGCTGGTGTAGTCACTTCCCCACTCATGTTCATGGGACCACCACCCTGCTGGCCATGCCTTTCTCCTTCCTGTCCAGCTTCCTAAACCCCCACATCAAATCCCTTCACCTCTAGCTCTCCAGGCATCCATGCCAGAGGGACGCTCCCTTCTCCATCTCCGTGGCCCGTTTACACAGCACCTCTCACACTGGGCCTTGACGGAGCTGCCCCTGTACATACGTTCTTTAATTTGATGCCCCCCATCCCACGATCACTGAGGGAAAGGATCACAACCTAATGAGCTGACCTGAATTCTGATTAGGCCTTACTCAGTGGTCACCTCCTTGAAAGCACACACAGGCTTTTACCCAGGCACATTCCAGATGAAGCACAGGCCGAAGACGGCAGGACCTCCTAAGGTCTGACCTGCTGCTTTACTCTAACGGCACACGGCACTCACACGCCTGTACACAGGTTACTATATACACTGTTGTCTCACTTGGGTTCACTATCCACCGATGCAAGAATAAGGCATGAATTTGTGATTTATCACTAGAAGAAAAGCTAAAAGGGATCACTTAATTTTTATTAGGCACCTTTCATAACCTACATATTGCCAATGAATAAAAAATCTAGCTTTATACATTCCTTCCTGCTAAGAGACAATTTACGTGAATCAACATAACATTTTAAAACGTATACAAGTAGATCCATCCCTAAAGCTATTTCTGGAAGAATACAAAAAAACTTAACAAAGGTTCAATTTTAGATGCAAGATTTAAGGTTAGAATGGGTGTAGGGGAAGATGACCTATTATTTTATATGTTTATGCATAGTCTAAATGTTTTAAATTGTGTAAATAAAAAAATTTAAATGAAAAGAACGAATGAATGAAGCAAGCCAACACAGGTTCACTGTAAAGAGATTATCTGCAATGTTTGACCTTGGTATCTTCTTTTATTTCTGTTTCCTCCTCATTGGTGGCTTCAGTCATTTCTTTCAAGTCAGGATCCTTAATACCGTGCATGAGTTGGATGTGTTTCTCCAGCATCAACCGTTTCGTGAAGGTACGCCTGGAGTCTGGGCAGTGCCTGTGGGGCAAAACACAAGGAGATAACTACTTGCTGAAAAATAACTTGCAGAAGAAGACACTCATTGCCAGAAGACCTTTGCCAGCCAGCAGCTCACTCAGAGGGCTCGAGACGATCTAGCTGTATATACGAAAGGCAGTAACTTGGTGATGAAACAGTTTCTAATTTGTGAAAAAAAAATTTTGCAGCTTTTGTGTCCTTATAAGACCAGCTTAATTTGGTTTAGATGAGACATTTTCTGTGTTTGTTTAAAGCTTCCTTAACTCAAATCTGGATGGCTTTAATTTTAAAATGGAGAATATTAGATTTCAAACATTTTCTTTACAATGATTCAGAGCATTCCTCGGAATTTACGTCATGAGAGACACTTTAATATGGAGAAAGCCCCTCCCCGGCTCCTTCATGCCCATGTTAATTACTCCTGTACACTCTGCCGTAACGGAGAAGACAGAGCATCTAGCCCCGTGAAATTCCTCATCAAAGCACCAATTCCATATGCATGGTTGTAATCACAGTGCTCAAATACACGTGGTCACTCAGTGGATTAAAATGTGGAAAACTGAACAGATATCCAAAATAGGTCAGATTTTTAAGTTTTCATTTCATCTTATACAGAAAAGAAACCCCTATCAATTATAAGCACAGTTTTACTTTATTCAGAAGATAGGAATTTACTGTTTTCTTAATACAACAGACCAAAAACAGGTAAAAGAAAAAAACAAAGTTAATGACCCTGGTGATTACGGAGTCTATGAGCCAGACATCAAGAACACCACCGCAGTCAAGGAGGAGGAGCAGTGCAGTGCTTCGTGGTCTTATGCAGAATCATTTGTTGCCTTCAAAAGGGCTCCTGAGGATTTTGTAATGACTGGCCCCACACACTGATGATTTCATGTTAGAGACCCTCTAAAGGGGCAGCGGCCAGAGCCAGGGCCATCAAAGAACGACTGAAATTAGAGGGTAATCCTGGCATTACAGTGACTTCACAGGGAAATAAACAGAACTGTGGGATGCAAGACTAACCAGGCCAGAATTCCTTTTCATTTTCTTCTCAGCCCGGAGCTTCCTTGTAAATCCTCCAAGTCTTGCAATGCAGTCTCAACATACAGACTGTATTTACCGAACGTTCCCATCTCACCACAATCACTCCCAGCTTCAACTCCACTGAACAAGGGTCTACATCTTTGCTTTTTTCCTTCCCAGGAAATTTGCCGTCACTAAGCAGATGCAGGAAAACCCCACTGATCCGACAGTACACCTCCACCGGCCTCCCAAGTCACACAGCACTGAGGTCCCCTCTGAACAGGGCCGCAGGCTACACAAGGGCTCCTCAGCTCCTGTGTCTTTCAGCTCGCTCTCTCTCAGGAGAAGTGCCCTAAAGTAACCTCGTTCTATCAACTCACTTTAGGCATGTTCTGGTTGAATGGGTGATAAGGCTTTCTCACTAATAATAAGAATACAACTTCTGATTACAAAGAAGTAGCTCATGACCATCTACTCAGTGTTATTGGCCCACTCAGTTCCTCGAATTTGGTCTCTGACGCAATCGTATGTGCTGAGAAAAGGCTGCCCTGCCTTAGGCAAATTGTCCAGCCCAGGATGGACTGATGTCTGGGACTCTTCGGCGCCTGCTCTGAACCACTGAGTAAATCAACCGGCCAAATCAACCAGCCAATGCTGACACCTCACTGTGCAGAGAGAGATCGAGAAGCATCTCACTTGACCAGGCACTTGCAAGTCCATTAGCTCTCCAAAATTCTCAGGAATACAATTCATGCACCTCTGGATAATAGGTAAGAACAGGAATGTACACAGGGTATGTAGGAAACGGTTCCTTTTTATTTTAATATTTTTAAATGTGACAACCCAATCATGAATCTGTCAAAACAACAGAATTTAATTAGGAAACAAAATCTCTTAACCGTGGAGCAGGGGATAGGGAATGGAAAGTTAACAGTAAAATATGGAAAACCTTGGAGAAGTTCCAGCTTAATCCTTTCACTGTGCTCCCCTTTCACATGAGAAACTATGACTTACGAGCAGGTATAAACTTTCCTGATGCCTTTGTGCTTGATCCGGTTGTGACGGCACAGGCTGTGTGATGAGCTGAAAGATTTGTCACACTGGCGGCAGGGGTGTTTCTTCATTTGCTTTATTAGAAGAAAGGAGACAGAGAGTCACTTAAGAGTCCAAAAAGAGAAATGCTTTAAAAACTGAGAACTTCTATCATTTAAATGAATTAATCACTATTGTTCAGCAATACAGCAATAAAACTAGAAGATTCTTCTCAAAACATAGTAAAAAGGGACAGCAGGGCTGGAGTAAACCATAAAGGGACTAAATTTTATGCAAGTGAGAAAATTATACTTTTTTTCCTCAAAAACACTTATGTTTGCTTCAATACAAACCCGAGATTTGAGGAAAAAACATTACATCAAGTTTCTCTCCAAAAGAGCTATGTTATTTTTAAAAAGCAGGTAATGTATGAAAACATAATCCTGAATAAATACCAAGTAAAGCCATTACCTTATTTATTATATATACCCAGTAAAGTACATCCTTGTACAATGTGCCATTTTAATTAGATCTCCAGCTAATTTTAAACATTTAAAAAATTCCCCAGAAGCCTGTTGTTTTAAATAATACCATCTGTGTCTCTGAGGAACACAAAAACTTGAAACTACTTCATAGAGGGTGTGTGTGTGTACTGGGCAGGGGAGAGGGGAAAGCGACAGAGAGAAAGCATGAGAAAGCTATCAAGAGATATAAAAATCAAAATTAACAAGTTGCCCACTTTGGCTAGGACGTAATTATGTTAATTCAATAGATTTCCATGTGGAATTTTTAAAGTAAAATTAATGGCTTAGCTTTAAAACAAATTCTTTGGGTATGCTATGCACTGCAGTCTGCAATTAAACAATGTCACATCCCAAGGAAGTTAAACCAGGAAAGCGTAATCAGCCTCATGAATGGAACAAAATCTGGCTCAAACCTCATTAAAAATAAGGCTGAATAGGAAGAAGTTCTCATGTGAAATATCATTACTATTTTGGCAATTGGAAGAGATAAGCAATTGTGAGCTGAAGGATAAGTAATCTTAAAATTATTTTCACATTCATCACTGAGAAACACACCCTTATTTAAACTGGTAAGCAAGCAACTCTACTGAAGTGTGGTTGAGAGTCTGGCTCTGGAATCCCAGAGATGGGCTGGCACTTTGTCTTGACCACTCATGAATCCTGTGATCCAGGGAAAGTTTCTCAACCTCCATAAACTCTCCAAACTATAAAGTGGGGACCACAACGGAGCCTTCCTCAGAGGGTGCTGGGAAAATGGCTGGGGATGGTGATTAAAGGGTTGGCACAGTGCTTGGGACACAGAGAAATAAATTCTCAATAAATGTTCTTTTATTAGTAACAATAAAGTTATGTATCCAAGTTGCATTTTAAAAGAGCAGAAAATCCTCTTAAATTTAAAAAAAAAAGAGTGGAAAATACTGTCTCTTAAATAAAGCAAATCAGTCTGGCAGGCATTCAAAAGGGTTTTGAAACTAGACGAAGGCAAAGGAGGAAGTTTCTTCTCCAAGTTAAAGGTGAAAGTCATACCACTGCTTTTATTGTCTTCCTAAGCATTATCTCTTTATATATATATATAGACACATATATTCCAGAATATAAGAAAAATCTCTGGGGGGAGAAAGAGCAAGTGAGAGAGAGAGAGAGAGAGAGAGAGAGAGAAGAGAGAGAGAGAACAAAGTGCATAACCACTAGTGCCTCTGAGACATCCTGTCCCTTCCCCCGCAGGTAGTCCTTTATTAACATTTTTGATCACGTAAAACAGACCATCCCTAGTCTCCTGGATTTATGTAGTCAGAGAATGAATAAGAGGTTTCTTTAGAACAAAGCTTTAAATAAACAACATAAACAGTTCTATGTTTCAATCGAGGTATTTAAATATGTACTCATATCTAATTCCAGTTGCATTTTGAACACCTAGGATGGGCAATGTTAAGATCACCTGAAGAGTCAAAACGCAGGACACCTTTCTGAAAGCAGACAGCTGCGGCACGTACTCAGGAGGGTGCATAGAACTGGAATTTCCCTTTCTCACCGTGCAACAGGGCAAGAGGCCTCAGAGGTATGCAAATCAGACTTTCTATTAAGGTGAAGGGTTCATATTCTCTTTATTGTTATGGTATAGTTATAGTAATATAAAGTCATATTTGTTAAATTTTAAATACTAACTTATTTGAGGTGCCTTACCTAATTTATTTTCATATTATTTTCAGTATTATAGTAACTGATAACTGCTACTTCATGACACAGAAAGCAACTTTTATCTATTGAACAAAAATGGAAAAAAAACCCAGTAATTAAAAAAATGTAAAGTCTATCATCATTCTGTTTCAAGACTTGCAAGGTCACTTACCTCCTCGGATGCAGTGTGAACTAACATTGAGGGAGAGGGCCCTGAGTGGACTTCTTATAGTTAACTAAATCAGAAAAGAAACATCTTTTCCCACTCAGTTATGAATTACTTTGTTTTTAAATAGAGCTCTTTGAAAAAATAGCTGGCAGGGTTCAAATATTTTTGTGAAATGTTAGAGTAAAATATCAAATAAAACAAACTTCCTACACATTCTCCCTAATCTCTAATTTTTGATTCTTTTATCTTCACATTCTTTAGGGACGAAAGCACTGGCTCCTCTTACAAATTCCTTTGCTCTGACCACCCTAGGCTTCTGCTTAAGGTCTGAGCTCTGGGATTTAAAGCCTCCGAAAACCACCCTTTCTGGTCTGCACTTGGTGAATGTGTCTTGGATTGCCACGGCCTCTATCACAATCAGACATTTTTCATTCTGATAACCAGCCTCTTCTTGTCTCTTGGTTTGACAGCCTCTGTTTAGATGACTTTGAAGAAGGCAGAGGGAGGGAAGTCACAACTTTACACATCCATCCGGCCAGGCATCCACTTCTCTTCCTGAGATTCGTCCCCCCGTGAAGAGTCTCCACCTTGCACCAACATGCAAAAAGCCTCCTTAACGACCACCACACATCCAGAAACACCCACAATTTAAGATTAAAGAGAGCAGAATTATTCCCAAACCATGCTAACACACACCCTTCAGCTCTATCATGACATTTTTTATGAAAAAGGAAAACTAAACCAACTATATAATTTAAACATATCACAGCTTCAACCCCTCAGAATGTACCTCTTCCAATTCGGGACCTTGCCCTGGGGAGTCTATTACACAAGTATAACTTCATGAAGTACAGTCAGTTCTGCTGTAACACCACATACGTATAACATGCTACAAATCACGGCAAAATCAGGCAGGAAGAACTACAGGGCTTCCTGCAAGAATGAAGTTTTAGGGGTTTAATACTCAAAAACTCTACCAGTGGCACAAATAATAAAACCAGTAGCCAAATGGTTATTAATATAGATTAGTACATTAACACACACTAAGTGGTTAACATATAGACACTGCAAAAAATATGTCACTTGACCTTGAAAAAGACTGCAGTTTCCTTGTGCAAGTGGGCACCAGAAGTCTGGGACGTGGTGAGTTTTTGGGAAGTGGTCAAAGAAGTTTATCTGAAATCAGAGGTTGGAAGGGAGGCTGTAACCCCAGGTGTGGACCAGTGTGAATCCACACACTGGGAGATGAGGTTGCTGGTGGAAGTCTGGGGTGTGTGCACGAGTGGGTTTTGTGTATCCCTACACAACTCCATTCCATAGTTTTCTGTGCTCACTTGGTGTTCCTACGGTTAAAATCACACATGAACAAACTCAGAACTCACGCTGTACTCCAGCTCTTCCCTGACAGATTCATTCCATCGGAACAAATCTGTGTTTCAAACACAAGCATTATAGCAGAACTGATTGTAGGTACAAAGTTATTCACTGCAGCACTGAGCGTAATAGGGAAAGAGGGGAAAAAAATCAGGGTCCATCAAAGAAGTGGTCGAATAAATTATATGTGCTCATATGACAACATTCTTGTCATGCAACTGTAGACAAGAATAGAAGATCTCAGTGCACTGATACGAGAAAACCTAGAACATAAATCACATGGAGAAGAACTGGCACAGAAAAGTAACAAGCTGTGTTCTGTTAGAAAGAGGTAAACATGAGAACATACTTACATATATAATACTTAAAGAAACTTCAAAATACATAAGAAACTTAGTGATTATGGGTTACAAGGTTTAAGAATGAGACTTTTCACTGTATTACTTTATACTGTTTAGATTTTTGAAAAATGTGAATATAGCACTTACCAAAAAATTTTTTTTCTGTTGCCTCAAAAAAATTCTAAGTCAGGTTTACCGAGGTATAATTTACAAAATTTAAAACTCCCTCTTTTTAATGTGTAGTTCTACAGGAGTTTTGACAAATGGATACAGGTGAGTAATTGCCACTGCAATCAAGATACAGAACAGTTCCATCACCCCCAAAATCCCCTTGTGCCAGCCTATAAAAAAAACTACAGCCACGCCCTCTCCTACACCCAGCTCTTGGCGACCACTGATCTGTTTTCTCTCCTACAGTTTTGCTTTCTCATTTGTTGTATAAATGGAATCACATAGTAGCACACAGTGCTTAAACCACTCAGCATAGTATGTCTGCAGCTTCTCCACGCTGTGCAGCCTACCAGCAGTCCACTCCTTTTACTACGGAGGAAGCACTTCACTGCCTGGATATACTCCACGTTGTTTACCTACTACCAGGTGAAGGACATCTTGGTTGCTTCCAGCTTTGGGAAATTATGAACTAAAGCTGCTATAGACGTTCACATACAGGTTTTGGTGTGAACATACGATCCTAGTTCTCTTGGGTAAACACCTAGGAATGGGATTGTTGAATCATATGGCTGACTAAATAAGAAACTGTCCAACTGTTCTCCAGAATGGCTGTACCTTCTATATCCACCAGCAATGGATAAACGCTCCAATCACTCTGCACCCTTGCCAGCATTGGATATTGCCATGTTACTTTATTTTATAGTAGTCATCCTAATGGGTGGCTAGTGGGATTTCACTGTGGTTTTAATTTTACTTTCTCCAATGACTACTGGTAAGAAGTTTTCAATTAACAGATAAAATACCTACTACCTACTAATATACTGTACCTCTTTCTTCAGAGAAGAGCTCTGAACTCTATATGTTTTTTTGGTTTTTTTATTCTTATTTCAGTAGGAAATTTCATTCCCTTGTAAGCTCCTTGAAAACAGAAGCTATAAATCATTCATCTCTGAATCCCTGGAATTCAGCATATAAGAAAACAGTAAATATTTATGGTGTGAATGCACGAAAGAGTAACTAAATACCCAATTACTGGAAAAATATGAGTCACTTCTACAAAGTAGTCATTGGGTAACAAATTTAGGATAAAGTGCTGGACACAGAGCAAGCCCTGCTTGTTTTGGGAAGATGGGCGAGACATGAGCACATGTTTAAATACTGGGAAGAGCCTATGAAAAATGAAGCTATTGAGGACAGAGGCAAGAGATGAGTCAGTGAGCAGGGAGACGGGGGATTCAGACAGAAGGAAGAGCCAACTAGTCCCCCTGTGTGACAGGACTGGTAAGGCGCCGTCGGTAGCCAGGTGCAATGCTTATTATGCGCAGTGATGGGCCAGTGAGGAAGGGACCAGGAAGTTAAAAGAAATCCCCCACCCAGCAGCTTCCATTCAAAGTGAAGTATATATGGTGCATCAAAACTACAGCCTTCCTTTTTTTCTCTTATTATTTCTGAAAATAAAAATAACAGATGCTTTAATGCAAAATAAAAGAGTGAATAAAGACAGCTTCTAATCTCACCAAAGTAACCATTATCAATTTCTAATTATACATCCTGCCCATTTCTATTCAGAATACACATATTCATGTGCATTTATATGAGGCAGTCCACATTATACATAAGGATGTGTAACCTGAAACAGACTTTTTCACTTGTAAAATGCACATGGCTACACTTCTTTTGATGTTCCTACATTCTTAATAGATCAGAGTATTTCACTGTATAAATGGACCACAATTCAAGTATCTGCTATTAATAGCTTAAGTTGCTTCAACTTTTCAGTAATTACAGATAAAAATTTCTGTATTCAACCAATTGTTTCCTTTGTATAAATTTCTAAAAGTAGTGATTCTAGCTTGGAAGTGGTAAACAGCGTTAAGGCTCTTTGACACTTTTTGCCAAATTGTCCTCAGAAAGATTCTATCAACATTAAGTCAGGGCTTACTCATCAAGAGCCCACAACCCTGAATCACAGCCCTTCAACTTTGCCAAAGTGATAAATAAAAATATCATACTGCATTTGTTTTTTTCTTCTATGCCTAGTCATGTTGGACGACTGTCCCACATTCCGAAGCCATTTGTAATTCCCTACCGGACTGCCCAATCGTATCCTTCCTGTGGGGGGTGACTGGCAGGCGAGGTCAGAGCCGATGACGGGCCTTGTGGACCATGGTGAGGGCTCTGGATGGTCCGTGAGTATGGTGGGGGGACACTAAGGAGTGTGAGCTGAGGAGGGATATGACCAACACAGTTGGCACGGGTCACTCTAGCTGGAAGCGGGCAACCAGCGTGGAAGCTGTCTGTGATAATCCAGGAGAGATGACCCTGGAGCTGGAGTAAAGGTGATGACAAACGGTTGGCCTTGGTACTCATCCCAAGATTGATCTGTGGATGGGCCGCGTGTGGGTAACAAAGGAGAGGAAAAGAGGAGTCAAGTATGACTCCAAATTCTCCGGCTCGGTACCAGTTACTAATTGGGCAAGGAGGGGAGAAGCAGGCTTAAGGAAGGAGAGGATCAAGAATTGCACTTTGGGTCCAAAAAGCTTGAGAAGCCCACTGGGGATCTAAGTAGAGATGCTAAATAGGTGGTTAGAGTTGAGTCTGGAACTCAGAGGGAAGGTCCAGGCCAGAGGTATCAACCTGTGAGTCATTTGGGTGTAGATGGCATTTAGTGCCAGTACCAAATTGTCTTGATTACTGTGGCTTTGTAGTAGAGCTTGAAGTTGGGGAGTGAGATCCCCCCCACTTTATTCTTCCTTCTCAGGATTGCTTTAGCTATTCGGGGTCTTTGGTGTTTCCTAGATGGCATTTAAAGTCATGGGCCTGGATGAGAACTTTCTGAGAGTAAAAGGACACATCAACATTTATAGGCTAGAAATATGAGAAAGACCAAGAAGAGTCATCAGTGAGACAGGATGAGAATAAAGAAAATGTGGTATCCTACAGGCCTAGCCAAGGAAGTATTTCAAGAAGGCCTCGCAGACAGCCCATTCGGACAGGACAAATCAGATGATGACTGAGAGGCCAAGACCCCTGGGCCTGGAGAACGTGCAAGTCAGGAGGAACCTGACAAGAGCGGTTTTGGTGGGTGGTAAGATGACAGCCCAAAAGGGACAAGACAAGCGGGAAGGACAAGGAGAGAAAATGGTTTCAGGAGGATGTGCTATAAAGGGAGGTAGAAAAGAAAAGGCAGTAGGAAAGTGGGGTTAGGAAGGTGGTTTTGCTTGGATAAGAGGTACCATCACATGCTTTATGATTCTGAGAATGATCTGGGAAAAGCTGAAGATGCAGGAGAGAGCAGGTAAATGTGGCTGGCACACCTCGAGTGGTCAACCAGGTGGCTGGGTGGGTGCCCGGATCGAGGAAGGGCTGTCCTCATGGGGGACACAGAGTCACCCTCTATAATGGCAGACTGTGCGTGTTCAGATGCAAAGGGGTTTTACTGTGCCATTTCCTCTTGTAAGGCAAAATCCAAACTTCTTTGTAGACTGTACATAATCTAATCCTCAACCCATCATTCTGACTACACCTCCTAGGACGTTAAATTCCCCATTCAAAGCCGCTCCAGTTCACATCTTCTGAAGACAATGACACATTCCTCCCCTTCTGAGACTGTCCTCTCCTTGAGGGCCTGTCAAGCCCTTTCCACCTCTGGCCAGCTTACCTCTCAGCACCTCAGTGGGCCTTCCTCCATTTCCGCCCACAAGCCTCTCCGTCTCTCGCCCTATCCCACACAGCAGAAACCACTGGCAACAAAATCTCAACGTGTCACTTCTCCGCCTACAACCCATCTGTTCTCTGTAGCTTCAGGGAACAGGGCCTTCGGACCTGCCTACCTCACCAATGCCACCCTCCCTTCACACCCTTTCTGGAACACCACACCCCAGAACTACTTGTTGGCAGCCACTGAGCATGGCACACTAGTTCATACCTTATTCACACTCTTCTTGTGGTTCCGTACACAGGGCACACTCATCTTGTGCATCCCCCAAATATCTCTCTGGGTAGTATTTCTTCTGTGAAGCCTTCCCTGGCATCTCCCAAAGCCTGGCGATTGCCTGTGACATAGTGATGTTCAAATCTCTGCTTCTTGGTACCTCAGACAGAGGTCTACTTCTTCTCTCCATGTATCACACATAATGTTAGTTTTTCATTTCATTCTATCCTCCTCTGACTTCTTTTAAGGCTGGACTGTATTTTATTGTTTATTCTATTAACAGAACCTCAACAGGTACTGAGCTGAAATCTGAACTGAATGTACCTTTCACTTAGTATTTAATTATAATCCTCTAAGACTCTTGTTTTATACCTACTTGTACTAGTTCTAGCTTTTGCAATATTTATGCTTTCTTGTTCTATCCAACTGTAAGCATCTGCAGGGCAAGAATTATATTTTACACTTTATTTGTACTCCAACATAGCAAATGCTATGCAATTTGATAAATATTTACAGAATAAAAGAAAGATACATACAGAAGAACAAACATGGTTAAAAGTTAAACATTCCCAAAGTATGAATGAATGACTTGTTTGTTCTAAATAGTTTCAGAATTGTACATTCTTGGAATACCCAAGTACCCAGACAAAAAAAGAGTTGAGCAAACAGCATAGAGACTGATAATATAAAAATAGGTTTAAAAAAAATCTATAGTCTAATATGTCTCCTATAAAACAGCTTTTCTACAGAATAGAAATATACTATGATTACATATAAATTATGTATAATTACAACTCAAAGTTGATTTTTAAAAAAAGAAATTCACTAAAGAAATACATAACATCATTAGCATATATATTAGATAAATGAAAGGGATAATTTTCACTCTGAGATGTCTTGAAACTTTTCATATTTAAGTTTCTTCATCTATTCATGTTAGATCTGGAAACGGTCCGTACATGCCCCAAAACTGGAAAGCTTTCACTCCCTTTATAGAAATATCACCTAAAGTTAGATGGTAAATCTTAAGAAACAAAGCTGCTTACCCAAACCACTCATACTCTCTTTGAAAATGATGTTTTTCATAATATAAGTTGGTCACGAGGATAGTAGTACAGCATGAAGAATATAGCTAATGATCCCATAACTTCTTCCTATACTGACAGATAGTAACTGCACTAGTGTGGCTGAGGATTTAATAATACAGTTAACTGTTGAACCACTGTGTTGTATACTTGAAACCAATATAAGACTGTATATCAATGATACTTCAATTAAAAAAGAAAAGAAAAGAAATAGTCTTTTAGATACAAGTAGCCTTCCCCTGAAGTTTGGAATAGTGTGTGGGTCATGAACCCCACAGTCCTTACGAGAGAATGTTAACACCTAGGACCCTGGTGTGATTTTCCAGTCCCCATCTCACATATCCAAGAATACACAAATAAATGGGGGTTTTAGATGAGCACAGCACAAGAAACTACCTATGTGTGAAAGGATCAAAAAAATAACTTCTGACTATTACACCATCTAAGTTTCTACAAATTGGAACTGAGTGGTTTAGGGGAAACAACTAAACACAGAGTATAAACACAGACCAGAGGCTGGCAGACTTTTTTTAGGTAAATAGCCAGACAGTAAATATTCCAGACTTTGGGAGCTATAACATCTCTGTTGCAACTATTCAACTCTCCCTTGTAGTTCAAACGCAGCCACAGACAATGATACATAAATGAATGGGTGTGGTTGTGTTTCAATAAATGATTTACAAAAACTGGTGACCAGCCTGTGAACCATACATAGTTTGCTGACTCCTGATTTAGACCATTGTCTCACACTCTATAGAAAACAGAGCCAGGTCTCAATCATTCAGAACCAAATCTACTTAACAAAGTAGGTAATCAATCCAGGTAAAAACAAGCACTAACTATAAAGCAGGGAGAATGGCTTCCTTTTTATGTGACATGTTCAGAGTAAGTCCTGAGAACCACTAATACTGCTGTCCTGGGTCTAACCACTGAGTTGACAACTTTGAAATGAACAGTGTGCCTAAGGACCAGTGTGTGCTCATTGCTATGCTTGTTTAAAACAGTAACGAACAAACCAGTCTACTAACCTTTGGGTTCTAAGATTCTGGTTAACACTGTGCAATTGAAAAAATAAAGACACAGAACATCACAAATGCAGAATAAAGGCCAAGCCCAAAGCAGACGGGAAAGAAATGCATCCCACACCAGAGCACCTGCACTCACGGCCAATGCGAACACGGGCGATGGAAAGGAAAAGAGCTGAAAGAAAGGCAGCCGCTCTCACGAAGCTGTAAGAACGGCAGTGAAACTCAGAAATGCCTGCCAGGGTGTCATGGGGTCTCCATGGGCATGTGTCAGCTGGGAACTCTGCATTTGCCCCCGATGACCAGGTGCCATGTACGGAGCTTGGTTGGGGGGCGGGGGGGGTTCTGTTTGCAGACCCCAAACAGACCACATACCCCTCCCCTGCCAGGTGACACAGGCCTCTGTCCCCCTGTGGCCATTTCATTAAGGGCCCTCACAGAGGAACTCCTGATTCATAAATATTCTCTCTCCTTTAAAGTCACGAGGAGAAAAATAAAACTAACAGGTGCGATGGGCCATGTGCTGCCATATTTCACTAACTCTAAGACATTCAGGAACCAAAGACAACACAAGCATAAAAAAAATCTTTGCTGCCCATTTCTTACGCGTCTGGTTCCATTTGCTCCCCTCTTCTACTTATAAGGGTTTGTCCTGTCTTCAAGGCCTGAGTCCTCAAATGTATGCCCATAGCTGGATGACACATTACTTCTCTATTATTTCTGTCTGCAGAAAATCCAGTCTTCACGGAAGGAGCAATGGAAAAAGTATACAGAAAGCTTTCTTTCTAATGTGATTTTTAATATAATCATTTTGCATTTTTTAGTTAAAAAGCAATCTAAATGTGATTTCCCCCTTATAATCACTATTTTATAAGAGACAAATATTACTACAGAATAAAAAATTAATATACTGTCTGAAGACCTAAGCAGAATCTTAAGATAATTTCCACAAACCAAAAGAGAAAAGATCATCACTGCTTTTATCAGATGATCTGTAAAAAAACCTATAAGTAACTTTAAAATGTACACAAGCAAGCAACAATATCAAAAAAGCTAACATTGTGACTGACTGTTGATGGGTTATTTTCTCCAGAGACCAAGTGCTACGTCATGTTAATTTTTCCAGCTGTCTAAATAAACCGTATTGATGAGGTGCCTCCGGCTGTCCCATCTGGAGGTGGTGTACAGACGAACCACCAGGCAGCTACGGAAAGGCTCTCCTGTGTGTCTCGTCTTCCTGGCATTGGTTCCAGTTCTGCAATTACCTGGCTTGAACAGATACGAAGAAAAGATATGACTCTTCTTTCTTCTCTAACCCTTACAACTCTTTACAGCACCTTGTAGCACGTACTAAGCAGTGACCGTGACCGTATCTTCCTCCTTGCTCCAGTCTCCTCCTAAACTAGGCTCTTCCCCTGCCAAACAAGTCTGTTCTCACACCTAACTTGGGGTGACTGCTTAAAACCCCACCCTCTGACCTTGAGGAGGACGGAAGGACTCCTGGGTTCTAAGGCAGCCTTCAGCATGAGGGTTAAACTCTGCAAAACGTTCTGCAATCCTCCAAGTCTGAAGACTTTCCAGCTGTAAACTAAACTGAGTGGGAATTCGTGACCCTCAGTTACCTTCTAGTGCTGTCTATTTTATGACTCTTAACTAAGTCAACCATGGCCGGAAGGCCTTCTATTTCCTTTGACGTCCCCACTTGTGGCATGTAAAATTATTTTCTGATTGTTTGGAGCGTCAACTGACAGAATTGTGTGCTAACCTCTTAAAATCTAAAAGTCTGGTCTGCAGTTGGACTGAGGAACATATTTTCCTAAAGAAATTACAAATAGATGTTATATTCCTGGGCAACTACATAAAAGCCTACCCACGTAATACAGCAGAACCACAATACTATACTGGTAGTCGAAAGCCTAACCACCATTTTCTGCATGGATGCAATACAGAAACCTAATCCCAGCGGGAAACTGGGTGCTTCAAGTCATAAAATAAAAGGTCCTCCCTGGGCCCCAGCCCCAAGGGACCTACTTGTACGTTCTACTTGCCAGAGATGCCACGGGCAGGGAGGGAACACTGCGGCAGAGGCAGGGGCTGAGGCTGACAGACAAGAGGAATGGTTCGGGGGACACTGGTCTGGGTCTGAGGTCACAGAAGCAGACAGAAGGGAAACTGCTCATCTGTGACAGCAAGGCAGGTAAGGCCCTGGCTGGGGGTGATGCTTTTAAAAGGAAATGGTCTTAAGCCAGCAAGTCCCAGGACAGTCACCCAAAGCAGACGGAGATGGGCCCAGGTCTCGTACTTCTTCCGGCTGGCAACAACACCGGCCCAGTGCCAAGGGGGCATCTACCTCCTGAGCCTGAGAGAGAAGCAGGGAAGCCTGGGGGGTGGGGGGAGCGTCTTCCTCGCTCTCCGAAGTAACAGCAGCCCTGGTGCGCAGTGCGCCACAAAATCCTGTTGTAAACATCTTAGTCACAGTGGGGGCAGGAAGCAGCCAGCCCTAACCAGAGACTGCCTGCACGCCTCGTGGGGAATCTGCTTTTCCAGAAGAGTAACATATAAGCTCTACTTCAAGTACAAAGACATGACCTGGTATCTGTGGCACCAACGCTTTTAGGACTTTTCTAAGGAGCCCCCAGCAACTCAAGCCTTGCACCTGCCGGGAGGCAAGGTAAAACCTGAAGGTGCGATCCCTGGCTACACAATGGGTGAGAAATGCCAGGCATCCTTGGCCACACTGCAGGCTGGAGAGCCGAAGTAACCTGCCCACCATGGGAGGCCATTGGGCACTTCGATTAATTCATTCCACAACAGTGACTGAGTGCCACTCTTACTCACTGGCATCTCCCTGCCCTTGAGATTACAGTCTGTTGAAGAAGAAGATATAAAAAACAAGGGAAGGAGGAGAAGAAAAAATAAGGAAAGGATGCCCACATGTTAGGCATTGTGCTAGCAGTAGCCACAGGTGCATGGAAGAATGGCAGAGGGGGGCACACGGGGCCAAGGAGACTTCTGTTGGCCATGGCCAGCTGATTCAAATGTGGGTTAACCAGGGATGAAAGCGGCTGAGACAAGGAAGATGTAATGTAGGAAAGACTATGGCAACTCTATATTGCTAGAACCACAAGAAAAGGCATGGTAGGGCAAGTACCGAGACGGCCCGGGTGAGGTGGCTGAGGGCTCAAGATTCCACTTTAAACATGCAGGGAGGGCCCTTCCATGACAGACAATGCTTGCATTCCCAAGAGATTGTGCTGACAGCTGTTTGGGGCTCTATCATAATGACTTATTATCTGCTGGTGTTTATCTCCTGGGTTCTGATCAGCCAGGCCCCAAGTCTAAATCCTCACAGACTTCTGGAGGCAAGCCTACTGACTTGATTACTGGGCCTGAACACATCTGCCTACTACTTGTGTTATTAATTATATTGCATGCCCTTCAACTTGGGGTTTTATATGTGTGATAACATGTCCTGCCACATAATGTAGTAACAAAATGTGCAGGACAGTAGGAGGTGACGGAGAAGACCACACCTTTTTCTTTAGACAATGACATATATTAATTAGGCATATATAAATACTTACAGCCTTCAGCCTTACTTGTAGAAATCGCCAGTGAGTTTACAGAAAAATGCTTCCTAAAATGGCTTCAACAGACATCTAACCACATAGAAATATTTCATACTTAAGAGCAAATTTCCTAAAACTGGAAACACATCTCTTCAGGCTTTAAACAAAATTTGGAATAGAGTCTTATTTGAGTCACATTTTCAAAATAAATTAATCTTTCTGAAAACATTTATTTTTCTTCATTTTCTGTCCCTCATGAATAGTCAGTAAATTTCAGAAGTGGAAATTGTTCATTCACTGGTCATTTCAACTTGTTTGAATTTAAAGGCCAAAATCTCCTAGTTCCTTCTCTGCATCTTTAACTTCATTTCAGTTCAGTGAATTAAGGCAGAAATGCCTTGCTCCAGGAAAGCTGGGGCTTTCCAAGTTCTTGTTCAGGATTCAAAAATAAAAAGGTTGGCCAAAATAATTTAACTGAAATAAATTATAAACTAGCAGAAAATAAATAATTTTTAAAGTAAAATTTTCAAATGGAAGGTAATGCCCAAGTTAAAAACTTAGGCTTTTCTAGCTATTTAAAAAAAATGTATTAGCTCCTAAATTGAAGTTACTCTCCAATCTCATCTTCCTGTAGAGCAGCTTTTATAAACTCTTAGTATTAAGAGTTGAACACCCTAAAAAGCTTACCTCCCAGCTGTCAACTAACTTAAATCCTTCAGAGCACAATTTCAAGGGGCAGAAAGAGGGTAGGAGCGTGGGTGAGCGGGAAGGTATCACAAACACCAGGGGGAATTTACAATATCCTTCATCCCTACCTAGATCCTGCCCTAAGCCCCCATGGGCAGACCATCAGAAAAAACTCTTAATTCTGATTACTCTCTTCCTTGAGAACCCCTGCTTTAACCCCGGTGTCAGAAAAGGAGCTTCTCATGCATTTCTTCAAATTTCTGAAACTCTTAGCTGCCAGCCAGGCCCCAACATCCCAGGGCTGTTGCTAAGAAACACAAACCACCCCAAGCACCCCGTGACTGCAGATTTGCACTATCAACTAGCGATACCATAGCTCGATTTCTCACAAATGCAACTTACTCCAGTAAGGCATTCGGTCCTGGCTGAGGAGTATCTATTAAGACTCTCACACTCAAACATTCTTCCAAAGCTGTAAGCACATGTCCATCTAACGATGGCATAACCAATTTCAACTACGACTGAGCACCTAAATTCAAATGACGATGGATGGAAAGTCATGTATTTGCTAACTGTTCCACATCTATATTGAAAGTTTCAATGAAGGCTCAAATTGAGCAGTTTTTCAAATACCAAGCCTTTCTGCTCTGCAAAGAGTGGCTGTTTGGCAGAGCAGTTGAGGAGTTAGGCTGGAATCCTACATGTGCCACTTTAAGCTAGAGTAGTAATTTCGAACCTGGGGTAATGTATTACGGAACCATTCTTAAAAGCTTCTTTCCTGGTTCCTTCTTATACACTGGGATTTATAACAGTGTCTAGTGCCTCCTGTTTCAAGGGATAAGTGAGATAATAAACAGTGCATGCTGCACAGTAAACCGTCAATCAGAGTTGCCACCCTGTCATTGCCCCTACCCCACCTGCCAATTTAGTACAAGTTACCAAAATCATCACCAGATACAAATTTTAATAGGCTTTGAACTAAAAATTTTAACACCATTTATATATAAAATATTTTTGTTACATCACAGATGACTGCTATACCAGATACAGTGAACTATATTAAAATATCTAATAAGTAGAATATATTCAAATACTAAATTATAATTTTAGTTACAATTTAATTATACAAATATATTAAAATGTATTATAAACTTTTAAAATAAAACAAAATTCTAATGAAAGAATAAAATGTACTAATAAAATACCAATTTCAGTGGCCAAAATTAATTAAATGTAAGTCTCACAAAACCAGTTATGATGTACTAAAGCATTAAGTCTAATTTATGTTTCATTTAACCCTTGGATTCACAGCTGATGCCAAACACAGAATTAAATTAGAAACCATCCTTCTCTAACAGTTGACCAGAGTAGAGCAGAATATGCAACTGATTTAAATTCATTTCTCCTAAAACCTTGCACAATCACAAATAAATTCTAAACCAAAAAGAATGGAGAAGCTGACCTTTTTTCATCTGTTGCTAGGGTAATATGATTCTGGCATAATCAGTATCGTCAAAGCTAAAAGGTGAGTTTAGAAGAATAAAACTCTATTCTCTTCCTACCTTTACGTTAGTTAAATAAAAGACCATTTCAAATTCTTAAATAATGCATGCCCAATAACAAAAGGATGAATTCTAATGCTAAAAGAATGAAAATTAAACCATCTGGCAATTAACTGTGCAAACTGAACAATATATTCATATCCTTAACTAGTGGTCATCACTGCAGTAAAGTAGAAATACAGAAAGAAAAAGGAGATGTGAAATTTTCTTTTCTTCATCTTTTTTCACTAAAGAAGTTTCAGAAAGATTAAGGGGAAAAATTACGCCTTACCATACATTTAACTGGGATGCAAGTTGGGTAGGTGCTTAAAAAAATATAAAAAATAAAAAAAACTCACCATGCTTTTAGAAGGCGCATGATGGCAAACTCACATCAATACCTCTGCTAATCACCCAGCACTCTCATCATTTCGTTCCCCCACTTTCATTCTCCTGCTACACCTCCATCTCAGAGATGCATAAAGTGCATTTCAGAACAGAAAAGACTAACTCCTAGTAAGTTTTCCAAATGCCTGTACCCAGTACGGAAAAACCAGGAGGTAAGACCTGTGGACTCATCTTAAGGACTTTACAAACTCACTGGGAACAGACACATGAAAACATCCTAAAAGAGTTTATAATTAGTCATTAAGTTACATTAATTTACTCTGCTCACTAGTACTACCTGGCCACGAGTTGTGTCGCCTGTACTCACCCCCTCCAATCATTAGATGAAGTCTCGTAAACCCATGCACTTGAGGTCGGCCTTCCCTGCACACAGCCTGATCAAGGTGTGCACTTCAGGAGTCAGAGGGCCAGGGCCACCGCAGATCCTTGTTCAGAACCAGCATTCTCAACCCTGACTACACACCAGAATCACCTGGGAGCTTAAAAAATACTGATGGCGGGTGTTGTCCCCAGGATGCAGCTGAAACTGGCCTGGGACACGTGTTTGTGGGGCACAGTATCACTGCTCTGATGCCCCCGCCAACAGTGAATAACTGAGTCTAACCAGGAGGAAACATCAGACAAATCCAAACAGCAGGGCACCCTTCCAAGTAACCAACCACCTTCAGAAGGGGCAACACCATCAAAGATAAAGGCTAGGAAACTGCTGCAGATGGGAGGAAATGAAAGAGACATGACATTGAATGCAAAGTGGGATCCTGGACCAGGCCTTAGACTAGAAAAGGGATGTCAAGAGACGGCTGGTGAACCGAAGGGAACCTCTCTGTTAATGTCAGTTCTGCCCCCTGTCCACGGCTGTGTAAGATGTTAATATCATAAAGCCCGAGGAAGGGTATACAGAACCCCACACTATCTGCACCTTTTCTACAAATCGCAAATCACTTCAAAATGAAAAATGTTTAAACACATTTATATGTTGTAACTTATAATGTCTGTTTAACAAGAACCTTTTATTTTGCTCAATTTCCTTCAAGCAAAATTTTTTTTTAATTTAGCATACACAGGGGAAATAGCAACAAAATGTTGCTCTGTATTGATATAAACCCTGTATTTAATCCTATGAGCCTTATGCAGTGAACATGATTCTTTCTCTTCATGTGTAAAGTGAAGCTGAAAGGTTATCTCCACCAAGCCACACTGCTAGCAGGTAGTGGTGCCAAAATTCAAGCCCTCATCTATGGGTCAAGCTCCAAACCCCAGGCTCCTCCCAATTTCTAGACACAGAACCAGATCACATCTACACCCTAAAGAACCTCAAAAGATCTGGCAAGGCTCATTCTGATGGCATCAGTAATAACCTCTTGATGTGCAGGAGGTACCAGGCAGCAAAAGAGAAATGACTACAAAGAATTACCACAGTTCATCTTATGCTTCTCCAAGACTTGAACAAGTGTAAACAACTTTTACTTGTTTATTTAGGATCAGGTTATAAAACTGTGCAGAAAGTTTCATTGGTAAGAACCTCAAGCTATTCTCTTGTTGAGGGGACCCTAATTTGAGGTTCCTAGAAGATGCCCAGAACAACCAAGAGTCAGGAGGAACATGACCCCCTAAATTGCATATGAAATTCTGTGTATTTCTACATCTATCTGTTTCTACATCTATCTATCTCATAGTTTGGAAAGGACCGTCAGGTTAATGACACTGACAAGCTCAACTTCCTGGTTTTATGGTTGAGAATGTGGAGATGGGGAAGGTGGAAAAGATTTCTGTAGCCAGAAAACTACTTAATACCCAGATCGAGAATTCAACTTATGTGTATTCACGATGACAATGTCCCTTTCTATACGGGCAAGTCATGAGCTGAGGGGAAGACACAACACTGTGAGACAGTGAAAACAGAACAGTAAGACACACAAACTTATCCTCAGAAAGTCTGATTTGAAAGCATAGCTGAAACCTGTAACAAAACAGTAGCACAAACTTTACAAAGTGACCACATTTTTACTGGTCTCTCTGCATGGAATTTCTCATAATCACTTTTTTAAATGAGGCTACTTTAGCTATTTTTCTTTTTTAAAAGGCTAAATGATTCAGCAAAATTCTAAGTTTTTTAAATGATTATACCTTTAACAAATGTGCATAGATTAGTAAAATAAAAAAAAATTTGAACTATTTCCCATTAATAATCAGATAACAAATTACTGAAAAAAAAAATTATAAACCACTGGAAGTAGATACTGTATTTATATTAATAGGAAAGTACTTAAGTATTGTAGAGGCAGAGAAGCTAGCTACTGAGTAACTAGCAGAGCTGAACTATGTTTTTGACTCCTGAAGACAAAGCTACTGAATATCTCTGTCTAACATGGAATTCTATACAAAATAGTTATTTCAGTCAAGATTTTTTTGGATGGGAACTGAGGAGAAGGGTCAGAAGCACTTGTTGAAGCCAAAACAGGCCATTAGAAAGGAACAGCAGTGAATTGTCTTCATATAAACTCAGTTGGTTTACTCCTAATGTTTTCTGGGAATACTCTCAATGTACTCCCAAAATTATTATATGCAAATATATTTTTAAGGTGTGGTTATAGTACTGAAACCAAATTTACCTTCACAGCGCACTGGCTCATAACAACTTACATACTGTCATAATATGTAGTGCTAACTCCAAACCTGGTGAAAGTCAATAGTTATGCTCTCCTGAGAGACATTTAGCCAAATGCAATTTTCGAATTCCTTATATGTGTACCGCCATTTCATGTTTATCTCTCATATTAAATCCAAAGGACTGGGAGGCTGCTTACCACCTCACATGCAGTTCTCTCTGGGCACTTACAACACAAGACACTGTGAGGTCACTGACGCAAGCATTACTCCCATTTTAAGGAAGAGGAAACTAAGTCTAAGGGGTTAGAAGCCTTCCAAATCAGCACACATTCTCTATCCATTACTTGAAGAAATATTTATTGGCTTACTATAAGCTCAGGATAGAAGCCCCCAGAGACTTAATGGATGAGAACTACAGAGAGACAGAAAGCATAGAATGTCTAATGGGAGAAAAGAGATAAGAGGCACCCTCCACAGAGGGCTGTGTCACAGTAAGGAAGCCCATGCTGCCATGGGAACGTGCAGGAAGATGCCCAGGCTCAGTCTGAAGGGACCCAGAAAGGCTCTCCAGATGAGGTGATGTCTCAGTTGAGACCCAAAGGACTAAGATGTCAGCCACAGACAGGTGTCCTCTTTCAAACTAACGGCACCTGGAAAGCCCCAGAGGCGAATGAGCAAACAGTGTTTAAAGCACTTAAGGTAGCTGAGTTTGCGTGACACGCACCGCATGAGAGACGGCTAGAGAAGGGCTGCCAGAGAGAAAGGCTACGTCGTGAAGGCTGGACTACTTTGAGGGCAATGGAGACGTAACACTGCACAATGGCAGCTGCGCTTTAGAAAAATGGCTAAGGGGAGAATAATTCAGGCAAGAGCTGACAGTTTCTGAACAAAAAATAAAGGGGTGCATTATAGATGGATGGACGAAGGGGGGCACTGGGTGGAAGGAAGAATCACCAAGTCAGGCTGGACACCAAGCTGTTAGCTGCAGAAGCTGGGGGCGCGGGGAATGAGGAGGTTTAGATTCCTTGTTGGACAGGCTTAAAGCTTCTGTGAATTATCTTAAGAAGCTGAAACACTTGATAAGTGGTAGGATTTCAGGGACTGGAATGCAGGCAAGAAACCACAGCTGGAAGACAGAGACTTGGAAATTATCTGCATATATATATGAGAAGTGAAACTACGAGTAACTGAAATTTCCCAGAGGGAGCATTAAATGCTCCAGGACAGAAACCTGATGGTTGTTCTGGCAACCGTGAGAAAAGCCAGTGAAGACTGTAGTGTTCAAATGCTTTTAGGAAGAACTGCCAGTCATGTGAAATATTGCAGTGGGGTCAATCTAGGTGAAGACAAAAAACTGTCCAACTGCCTCAACAATGAGGAGGTCACGAGTGAAGCGGGTTTGGTGCCGAGGTGAAGCTGGGACCCAAAGGCGGTCGGGTGGGGAGGGAATGAGATGAGCAGCTGGCCAGGTGCCTGCTTAGTGGTCTGAAAAGAGGGTGAAAAACCGCAGTAGGAGATCGGACGTTCGGGGTTTAAATGGAGGAGAGGTGATCAGAGCATTCTGACAGGAGAGAATCAGAAAAGAATGGGAAGAGGTACAGCATCTCTTCGGGGGTGCCTGGAAGGGAGGGCCCAGTCTGAGGGTGCGGTGGAATCCCCTGCTGGTTTCTGACTCCCTGACTCTCGTTCGCCACTTTTTTTCATTTCACCAGTTTATAAAAAAAAGACATTTCTTTCCTGCCCTCTCCCCACCCCCCTCTAGTTCTTTCAGGAGGCTGAGTGAACAGTATTTAAACTGTAATCTAATCTGATGCGCCTCATTCCAAAAGGCAGTCTTAACTTCTTCAAAGCTAATCCTAAAATCCTACTAAGCCAAACGTTTCCCCGCCGTGATGAATGGCTGCGTCTAATACAAGAACATGTGCGTACACAGAGTGCCTGCACACGTCCAGCTCAGCGCCAGCTCTGCGCTACAGTCCAGAGCAAACAGTTTAAGTGTTAAATTTCATCCCACCAAATCTCTCTGAGCCATTTCTTCATCTTACATACTAGATACGGTAACTGTCAGATGTGCAAGATAAAAATCATTAAGGGAAAAAAAAAATACAAAAGAATTCTGAAATATTCCAAGATGGTTACAGAAATCTCAAATGTATAAGAAATGAAAGGACTGGGCTAATAGATAATTATTAAGGTCTGCTCCTGTTTTGACATTTGTGAAATTTAGCTTGGGTACCAAAAACAGAAGACTTTTTCAAGAAGCACTGCATGACTACTGGTAGTGTATTTACACAGCAGGGTTATCAAGTATTGCCCCTTAATCACCCAGTATTTACAAGAAATACTGTAAGATGCTATTGCCCATTAAGGGAGCCTGAAGTTGAGAAGATTAAGTAAGCAATGTGCTACAAAATAGATATATTCCATAAGCAACAAATTTCTAAATGAAGAGACACGGAATTAAGTTTAGTTAAACCACAAACATATTTTGCAATCTGTAATCATTGTCATCAATATTCAATGGCAGGTGTACAGCGTTTGGAATGGCAACAAGGTAAAACATGTTAGTTTCATGAATAGCTCAAACAAACCCTGCAAAAGAGGCTACAAAGTAATGCTTGATATACTTAATTTAACAAACTTTTCAAGGATCTAGTATATACTCATTACAAACCAATACCTATGCACTTTTTATACAGGTTTCCAGGTTAACTATTTGGTTTTGTTTTTAACTATTTGGTTAAACTATATAGTTAAAAACTATTTGGTTTTTATTTTTAACTTAAGCCAATGTGCATGCTTAAGTTAAAACAGTAAAATTACAAGTATCATGTATCTATCTGAACACACAAATTGATCTTAGTATCAATAAAAGTGGAACAGGCTGATATTAGGTGTCTTGAGATGTGATACAAAAAGAACACAACACCTTTGTCGTATTGGTATCTACAAAATTCAACCTAAATCTAATCAAATTTATAGGAATTATGGGATAAAGAAAATCAAATTAAACAATGTCAAAAGGAAGCTATTACCCAAATCCAGAAATGCAGAGGATAATCTACAGGATGTATAACCCAGTTTTCCAACAAATCAAGAGCGCATTAAAAAAAATAATAAAACAGAGGGACAGGCTGCTATAGACGTAAGAAAGATTTAAGTTATACAAGAACCAAATGCAATACAGAATTTTTCTGGATCCTAACAGGAACAAACGGACTTTGAGACAACAAGAATAATATTAAAAAATAATCGTGCTTGTTTGATTAGGTCTAATAATGGGCATTTTCGAAAAATCCCTATCAGGTGGAGATGTGTAGTTGTTATTTTAAAAAGAGAAAGAATACACATATTGCAACTCAGATTTCTCACTGAGTTTGAGTTACAGAGTTGCTCCTGGATACTGTTTAAGGATGAGGTCCCTCTTCCCACTGCCAACCTCAAGAACCAGGTAAGTCATACAAATGTTACTAACAGTTTTCAAAACATCCATTTTCTTTCTCTCCTCCTTTCTTCCTTATCACACAGCTAAAGGGTAAATTCAAACATTATTAACTCTGACCGACCGTTCTCAAGTTTTCTCAGCTATAAACATGAATGTGGATAAGTCACTGCCAGCCATGGGAAGCACCGGTGAAGGCAATTCTTAACAAAATCACAGACAAGATATGACAGTCCTTCCTATTTTACAGAAAAAGAAACTGAGGCTCAGAGACACTGAGTGACTTTCAAGATCACCCTACTAATTACTGGCAGAGCCACATCGTGGAGGTCTGTCAGCCCAGGGCTCCTCCGCAGGCTAACGGGTGGCTTGCACGCTTACCTTCCCGTGCTCCTTCCTCACGTGGGAAATGTAAACATCTCTTTGTGTGAACAAGCGGTCACACTCCCAACACGTCCACCCAGGACTGGCCACCTTCTTGGGTTCCACTGACTTTTTCACAGGTGATGGAGATTTCTTTTCCAATTTCTCTTTCCCATTCATGGATCTGGTGTCCTCTTTGTTTTGATTTGCTGAATTTTGAGTTGCAGGCTTAATGCTCAAAGGCAAGTTTATACCCAAGTTTGGAGGCCCTTCAATACTTTTCAATGTTCCATGCATAGACTATGTTACAAAAAGAAAAGAAATACCTATCATAAATCACACCACTAAAAGAAAACACATGTGGACTATCTTAATATGCTATAGACATTTCAATACGATCTTATATTCATTCAGAGGTACTTAATATGTGAAGAAAAAAAACCTAAGCAAAATTACACTTACAAAGAGAGAAAGGAGAATTAACCTTCTAGTTGCTATAGGTTGTGCATTTCTAGTTCCAAATAATTTTTAAAAGCTTATTTGCTTGTGCCCATTTTAAGATTCTTAAAGAAAGACTTCTGTAGTGAGTCCAAATCATTCCTAGCCCTCTGTCCTCCCACAGTGTGCCAGAGTGAGCCCTTTCTACAATAGCCCATATTTCTGGGGAAGAACATTTTACTTTCTACCCAGAAACATTTAAATAGGCTAATACACCGGTAGGTGGTCAAGACCCTTAGACCCTTAGCTGACCAACTTCAACAAATCCCGAAGAGCAAGAGATCAATGGCAAACCTTTCTCCCTCCCTTTCATGCCTTTCCCATTCTTCGAACACTTGCAAGAATTTGGGTTTGGTTAGGTTTTCTTTTTTGGTATTTTTAACACCCCCCCCCACGCTCTATCCCAATCCAGCCCTTCTTACTGGTAACACCCAGACTTGTGAACTATACACAGTGGACACTCAAAAGGCCTTTTTAAATTGCTCAGCTATTTATTTTCATGAACATAACTGCCACAACAACTAGCTTCAATATAAATACACAAATTCCAAAATTTACCTACTAATTAGTGCAGTTTATCATCTGATTCTAAAGATCAGCTCACTTTGTGTTTTGTTTGTGTTCAAGAAGCACAGAGAACAAAAGTAGACAAAAAAAGGAGGCACACAAGTCTGTGCCTCGGTGCACAATTTATCTTTGAACTGGACCTTCTTATCTGGACTCAGGCTCGTGCTAGCCTGTGCTCTTGAACCTACAGAAGATCTCCATGACACACGATTCCTGATGTGCTGGCACGTTCAGGTCTCCCAGGTCACAGAGACCAACACCTTATCGACCCCAGCTCCACATTCTTTCTTGAGTGCTCGAATTAGTAAGCTGTGCTCCAGCAAACTCTCACTTTTCTCAAGGTGAGGTCTGCTCTCAACAGTACCAAGAATTAGCCAACTTTTCCCCAGAAGGAAAAAAGGCAGGTTCTGTAATTTTCCCATGAGCAGAGGTTACAGGTCTACCAAGACGATCCCCGAGCTGGTCTGTGAAAAGGCCTGAGCAGAACGTCTCATGTTCCTTTGCAAAGAGAAAATCTGGGGCAGGATGTGAGCTCTTGACAGCCAAAAGCTGCAGTGGCTTCTTTTCCACCACGCAGGGCAGAGGCTTTGTGTTTAAAAGGCCTTTTTCAGAACAGAAGCCAAGTTTTCACGTTTAGCCATTTAAAACCCAAAGAAAACAAAGCCCAAAATCTAATAAACTTCTAAGTTTCTAGGCAAACAGATTTTTACAAACTAAAAACCTAACAGATGGTTAAAGTATTAAAGACTTCTTCTGTAAGGTAACCTTACAGTGCTATAGAAATTACAAAAGAAAATTCTGCTGTGACAAAAAGAAGCATGTGCACTAAAATGAGAATTTCTAATTAACTCATTTTTGTTTCACAATGTAAGTAAAAACTAGATTAAAAACAAATGTATTTCTTAAATAAAAGAAATATGACTTAATTCTTTTAAAATCAACTTTTCCTTAGGTTCTGTAAAAATAAATAGCTTGAATTGCTGTAACTTGAAATTTTACTTTAAATGTAAATGCCAATGTGGATGGAGTACAGGGGTCCTACACAGCGAATAAATCTGTATTTTGGTAGAACAAAGAAATGAATGGAATTAAATTGGGCACATAAAGATCTACCTTTACATGAGTTTGTGCAGATACGCTGTTCCTGTTCTATCTTCTCTTAATTCCTTCCTCATGAAAAACTGAACAGCACAAGCATTAGGTAATGTAAATAAATTCACAAGAGCTAGATACATTATCTTAAAAATAAAAATAAAAACAAGGTGTCCCTAAAAGTTCATTTTTATTCTTATACCCATTGCCAAACACTAAAGAGCAGGGTAATACTTAAAATGTATAGAACATACTAGAAATGAGACCCTGAGCGAGTATTCCCACTGTTTTCATATCATGTAGTCTTGTAAATTTTCAGATAAATAAAAACAAGTCTTTCCTCCTTGCGGCTCCAGGATTTTACCATTCCTCTTCAGTGTCTATTTCTTACAACCTTGTATTCCTCCAAGTTCACTATTTACACAAGAAAGACCCTAACCACAAAGTCGAGGACCCACTTCCAGATGTGAAGATGAGTTCCAGAAAGCAAATACCTGAAAGGCCTCTTAAGAAGCAACTTTCCTTACTTTTCTTTCCCCCCACAGTACAGTAGGTTAAAACATCTGGGTCTAATTCTAATGTTCCTACATTTTTATGAGCAGTTTTTAGTCCTTCCTGATCACTCATTAAATAAATATTTGGTGTCAAGATGATTTTGTACTTTTACTGAAAACCCTTCATATATCTTAAGAGGATTTTATGGTACTGAACATGAGAATGATGAAACATTTCTCCTATGCACTTGATTCAATATAGTAACAGCCACACCGCCACTGCATTTACCATTAATGAGCAGATTCCCCAAGATATTCAGCCCTTTGCAATAGGTGTTATGCTATGTGAGCACACATACACTCAACACCAGCAATGGCCAGGATTAACAGTCCATTCATTTAACCAAGATGAGACTAGACTAAGTTAGAGACCTAATTCTTTCCTTAAACTGACTTTTTTGTGTAACATATTGAAAAAGTAGAAAACTAAGAAAAAAAAGAGACTAAGTTCCTGGTAATATTGGGTCTGCTATTTCTCTTTCTAAAAAGTTAAGTCACTTTAATCTCTGAGAGCTGATGGATATTCTCTCCTAATCACACAGGAATAAAACTGCATAACCTATCACAGTGGAGAGTTAAAAGGGGAGAACTAAGCTCTGTCCTTAGTGAGCTTAAAAGGCTGTGAAGAGATTTAGGTGCCCTTTTCTGGGTTTGGAGAGTGGGTCATCCAAACTGGACAGCTATTCATTTCATTAACTGAACACCCACCAGGAACCAGACACTGTGCTGTATCCTGGACATTCCACTGTCAATTTACATGGAACCTTGGTAAGGGGAAAAAAAAAAAAAAAAAAAGACTAAAAGATCCAGGGGCATCAATTTATAAAGCCAACTTAACTGCTTAAATAATTTTAAGAGAAAACCTTCTCTAAATATATCAATATTTACATGAATGGACATAATTCATCAGCAGCAGAGTCCTTATCTATTCTAAATCCTATTTGGCATCAAGGTCTCAAAAAAGTAAACTTCACAGGCATCATTTTCACATGTAGGAAAAAAGAACCCTACCACCTCATTATGAAAGCAAGCATGCATTTGTTGCTTTGCATCGATCTTTCATGGTATGCAGAGCCGAATGAGGGAAGAGAAAGCATTCCTCAGTCAAGTGAACATATGATGACAGCCTGCAAAAATGGCTTGTTACCAAAAGCAGCTTTATCCATCCCTTCCCTCGAAAGCATGCAAGGTTTATCAGCAGCAGCAGCTCAGCCTTCACTTTATGACCAATGAGTGGATCTGCAATTCATTTAAAGGACACGAAGAGATGTGCACACACCTTGATATGGTCCATCATGAGTTGCTTCTGTGCATATAAAAGAGAACAGTCTGGACACTTGAAAACAGACACCTTCTGGTTTTCGATGTGTTGGTCAAAGTGGCGATACAGCAGAGTTTGCAGGGTAAATACAGTGTCGCACATGGAACACTTATATATTATTCTAAAATAGAAGAAGTGCATGGAAATGTCAGTCAGCCCTCGTCTCTCAAGTCAAAGGAACTGCTACTTTACATCTCATCTCAAGAATTTAGGAGGCAGAAGCAGTGAGAACACATAAACACGGTAAAAAGAACAAAAGTTTCACTTTGAAACGAACTTTTGAAGGCAACTGGCGTCAGGCAAGCGCGGATCAATCGTAACATTTTGGGTGAAGATGCGTTCAGCCACATCAGCTTAGGAGTCTGATTTAACCACCATTTGCTCTTCACAGATCTACAACTGAAACACATTTTTACACGATCTTCGCTCATTACTTTAACACAGAGCAAAAGCACCCTCAATTTTTTTTTCTTAGGTATTTTTCAAGATCAGACAAGGGACACAGCTCAGTGAGGGCACCTTAACTTGAAAAAGAACTGGATTCATGAACTAAGCTGGCCTCCTCAACTCCACTGCCTACACAAGCTGTCACGCATTCCAAGTGTTCTTTTAAAGTCAGTAGCAATTTCACACCTCAATGTCAACATTTCTGTATCTGTTCTTAACACAGAAAGTCCTACACTGGGAAACACTTATACCCCCAAATCAAGAAACAGAAAGAAAATCCACACCACTGTTACCTCAACACACGAATGTCTACTGTGTGTTAAGTAGTTTAAAATATTCACTGTCCACCACATGCCATTTTCGTACCTACTATGTTACCACCCAGCAGTCTCATTAAGTCACCCAGCAGATCTGAACCTTCTCAACAGAATCTCTTCTATCCATCAACACCTTCTGCAGAAGCTCAGGCAAGAGTCACCTACAGCAGTGGGAGGGCTAGACCCCCCTGCTGCCGACCTCTGCCCTCAGTAGGGTAGATGGGTCACTTGGGAACACATCTGCCCACAGTAAGCCCCCTTTCTTCAACAGCCAGTCCAGGTCATCCTGATCCTTAGGAGAGGCCCTAAGGACACCTATGTCTCCTTTGAAAAACTGCAAGAACAGACACCAAGAATTTAGGGAGCAGCTAAGGAAAGTGGCAAAGAAACACTGACTGAAGATAGAAGTCAGAGATGAAAAAAGAAACTTGAGGTTCCATTTGTGATCCCCACAGCAACGCTAAGAAAGGAACGCCTCTTGAAACCATGTGTCTTTCCCCTCAGGGTCTTTTTAATAAAGCACTTCTCACTTGGTAGTTCTTCGTCAAAAAAATACAGATTTGACTGTTTTTCTTTTTCCACGTGACATGTATAAATTTCACTGGAGTGAATGACGTGTTTTTATAAGGTGTTTCAGTTACTTCAGCACAGAGCACAGGCACCCTTGACCAGGGAGGATGGACATTTTTTAAGGTCAGACAAGGCTTTACAGGACTTCACCATACAGCTCAGGGGAGGTACTCTCAGGATGCATCCTCATTAATTTTACCAGGTGTGACAGGGTGTTCCTTTCCTCAGTGCTGGAAATGCACAGAGTTGGAAACAGCTCAAATGTCAAGTAATGTTAAGTAGTTAATTAAGAACTATATAAAAATTTGTGTTAATCATGCTGCAGACATATGCTGGTGACATGGAAATATTTTCATGAAGATTAAAACAACAGGTAACAAGACAGTATGTACGACCTGATCACATTTTTTAAGGGCGTGGAGAAGAAAGAGAAGGCACAGAGCTGCCGTCCTCAGTGCTGGGTGGTAGCTCATGAATTCCTTCTAGCGTTCTGCTTGTCTACGTCTCCTGATTTTTCTGTAATCAGCATACAGTGATAAGAGAAAAAAGAGACTCAAAAACAGAACCAAGATTTACTAGCCAAGCTAAGAAATGGCTTAAGATTCTATTCTTACACTTCCAGAAAAAAATACTTTATGAAAAATGGCATGGCTCATTTTATTCATGATACATTCCTTTGGGGAGGGGTTATATTTGATTTCCTGCCTTCTGTTGACTAGCAAAGGAAGTATAAAATAGAAGATAATCTATTTACTTAGGCATTTTTCTTAAGAACAATTTGTTGGTACGATATCAGAATACCACCCCACAAAGTGCTCACAAGTATAAAGGAGGACATGGTGACTTTGTGGTAGAAAAATCTGGCAGACACCAACTTGACCCGGTGATGGAAGTCACTATCATCGCTGCAGGGACAGGTAGACAGTGCAGGTCCCCACTGTCCCCTATGAGAGGATTCCCGAAAGGCCTGTGCCCTCTTTTGGATGGCCAAGGACGTGAGAGGGGGAAAGACTGAACACCTGCTCCAGACGGAAGGACATGCATGAGACAGGGCAACTTAAAGGCAACACAAGCTCCTGGATAGGATTTTGAACTAGAAAGGAAGGAAAAAAAAAAGACACTGCCTCATATACTGAAGAGATTTTAATGAGATCTGTGAGTTGGAAGGGAAGGCAACCAAAGCTCCCTTTTGGGGAGGAGAAGCGAACACACTCACTAACGTCATGACGCCCTAAATATTATTCCTACATGTGAGAGAGAGAGACACACACACAGGCAGAATGAAATGATGGAGTGCTTGTGACTGCTAACAACTGAGGAATCCGGACGAAGGGGATGCAAGAGTCTTTTAGAGGGTCCTTCCAACTTTCCTGTAGAACACAAACTAGGAAACTTAAAAACGGTGCTAATGTTTAGAAATAAGCCCAAATAAAGGGATCATGAACCTCACAGACACAGGGTTAGAACACGAAGATGGAACAAACTCTCCAATCACAATGGAAAAAAACCAGAGAGCCTGCCAGGCAGGGGGGCGGCAAGGCATTCAAGGCAGTGAGTGCCACGTAGACTCAGGCAGAGTCTGAACAGGCAGAGCATGGCGAGCGGCACTGAGGGACCCAGTGAGGCCGGAGGCCCAGAGCGCGGGAACGGCAGGGTGGCGGCGTGGCAGAGCTGTGACGGGCTTTGAGAGCCAAACCTAAGAGCCTGATCGTATCAGAGGCCAGACTGAGTGACTGGCAGGGTGACTAGGCTAAGGGTGGGGAGGGGACAGACACTGGAGAGAAGGGGGTGGAGGAGAGCAGAAAAGAAGAAATAGAAAGTTAAAACCAAATACCCACACTCAGGCTCAACTTACAATAAACAAAACTCTCCAGAACACAGCGCTACACTTGAAATGCACGTAAAACTAAAGAAAAGGGTCTAAGCTCTGAAATCACTGCCGCAAACCTCCTCCATGGCCACGGACTGGAACCGACCAGGCGCAAAGCACTGTCCTGAGCATCACACAATGCCCGCACCTCCACCGGGCGAAGGCACCTCCCTGCCACTTCCCACATGCAACAGGAGACTCACAGAGGTTTGGGAATCTGCTTAATGCTGCATGAATCCCAGGGCAATGGCTCAAATCCACCTTCGTCTGACTCCAAAGTCCTCTACCGTATTCCTGCACATTTTCTTTCTTAGGAACTTGTTCAAAAGCTCTCAGTCTCTTATACAACTCTTAACTTTGGGATTCTCGTTTCTCCACTTACATACATTTAGAAGTCGCAAATAAAAGGAAAGCACAAAACAGCAAGAAAAAGCGAAAACAAAGCAAAACAAAAACCCCTGCTGTTAATCAGATGTTAAGGAAAATATGAAAATAGACACAAAACTGTATCACCATGAAATCCAGTAATGAACATTCAAAATGATCTCGAATTACCCAGAAAAGATTAAAGGGTGTTCAAAGTTTCCTTGTAGACAGCAGGGAAACATGCCTGACCATACACTGGAAAACAAGAAACAAAGTACTAGAACAGTGCCTGGCACATAATAAACATTACATAAATGTCTATTAAATAAAAATTTTGCATTATGCTCTTCCATTTGAGGTGCTGGGGTGGCAGGACTTCGTGGGTACATTTTCAGATGTACATATTAGTCTCTAAAGAAAATGATGAGGGGGATTATTTACATATTGATCTTTAAAAATTAATTCATTTGCAAAATTTTGAGTCATTTGCATAACTGCCCATTAACCAAATACTGCTAGAGTTCAACCAAATACCAGAGAGTTCAATGCCTGAGGTTCTACTGAAACAGGGGTGGAGGACAACTTATTTTGGGCTTTAACATAGAGTGGAGATGGATTTAATATCAGAAGGAAGCTTCTGCGTCAAATGTAAGCCAGCTGGCCATGCGGCGTGGCACAGGAAGGAAGGTTTCATAGAGGGCTGTACAGGGAAAGGTGTGGGGGAGACTGATCTCAGGCAGGCTGTAGTGTGGGGGTGACGAACAACTGCCTGAGCGGCACCTGCCACCGCAGCCAGGCTGCAGGCGAAGACGCGATTTAGCCAAGCTCCTCTCCTCATCCTGACTTAGTGGTCTTAACTTAAGAGTTCACTGGGGTTTGGGAGTTTTGTTGCACTTTACTCGTAAATTTTTTTGTCTTATAGTTTAAAACACAGTAGTTGATGTCTGTCTCTAGGCTTAACACTTTTTAAAGAACCAATTAGGCTTGGTGCTTGCAGTAAAAAGAATTTTTAGAGAATATTGGAATAATTTTTTTCTACATTACTAAAATTTTGAAGAATACTGTTTTCACTTATTTTAATCAGTTGCGGTGGCTGCTGCCCTCTATTCCCAGATAATAACTATTGTTTCAGATCTCAGTAAGTAAAGCTTATCTATTTGAGTAAAGAATGAAATTAAAACCTATATTCACTATGGGGGAAATGCGTCCAGCTTTAGTGTCCAAAAGCCTTACTATCATGAATCCTGAAGACTGCCTTCAATTCACTAATGCCCATCTTCAGAGTCAAGATATGAATCACCTCATTTGTAATTCGTTTTACTTTGAGGAACTACAAAGATTGGAGTAGAGTTCCTATTAGAACAAAATTCCATTTTATTCAGCAAAAAGAGTCACTTCTTTAGTGTTCAGTCAATAACATTTCCCCAAATTAAATGCTGCAATAGAAGCCAGACATATATAACATGGCCTATCTGCACACCTTCCCCCTATATGTCCTTGATCATGGAGCTATGGACAAAGACACACCAACAGATTTGAGCAGCAAATCGAGTCTCACATGGTGATCGAGCTCCACCCTGCCATAGGAATGCAGGCGTAGAAGAACATAAGCACTACTGTCCAATCCAGTGCTGGGAACACGTGGAGGAGAACACGTGGAAAGGAACTATGGCCACTGAGCCCCTCCACGCTCCAGACATAGGGACCATGTGCTACACGATTTAAACATGTCTTCTCCTTTTAGCCTCACACACACGCTGGACATAAGCATCACCCTCACTTTAAAGGGGAAGAAAACGGAGGCTGAGACAGCGAGTGATGGTCCAAGGTCATACAGCTGGTGGGTGGGTGGTAGGATTCTGACTCCAGGGCCCGCACTCCCTCCTCTTTGCTAAGCCACCTGTCTTGTTAGGAGCTGTCTGCTGACGTTATCACTTCATTATTAAAGACTCCATAAAGCAAGACCTCACAAAGTTAAGAGAAGATTAAGGCAAAAGTGAAATTTACTTTTAGTAATCAAGGACTTATACTGGCTGTGAAGTTAAACTCAGTAAACAGGGTCTTAAATTGACTTCATGTTATAAATGCTACCGTGAAAAGTGTATCCTATAAGAAGTCATGGAAAAATAGAAAGATGACAGTATTTTAGTTTTCCTAGAACTTACTTATTAAAATCACCTTAGGAAAAAGAACAAAATTCATAAATATTCACGTGTGTAGTAAAAATTGATGATAAGAACATAAATAATAAGTGACATTTTTGGACAAAGACTTCCCCTGGAAAGAACTGAAAGGTGTAGATAGCTTATGAGTTATAAGCTACAGTTCACAGAGCATCAACATCTGTATAGTGGCATAATTTTTCATATTAAATTTTATTCCACAGTACTCCCTCCTCTAAATGACTCATAAAGTAGTGGAGTGAAAGTCAAAAGGCAGTATGACTTACTTTGGTTCTCCTATCTTGATGCCAGGATGTTGTGTGTAGGCATGGGAATGTGTACTTGGGGCAGACTTAAACGCCATGGGACAAATGGGACACTTGTAGAAGACTTCACAGTGAGAACCTTGGATGTGAGACTTCAGTGCGGCCACATCAGAGTACACAACATTGCAATGTACACATCTGTTAGAAAATAAACACAGTCGTTAGCACGAGACCATTACACACGTGTCACTTAACTGTGTAGAAACAGGTAAAATGAACATATTCAAAAGGTTTCTAATGGCTTTTTGGAAGTGTGCTTTGTTTTGTTAGATGACAAAGAAGAATAAAGCCCAAATGGTCTATCTGTTGAGCATCTTTAAAGTTTCTAGGAATGAATATCCAGAGACCACAGGATCATGGGGGCTGTATCAAGGCTGGGGAACACAGCAAGACCCCAGGACTCCTGGCTTTGGAGAAGACACCCACATGCTACAGTCTGTCACCCTGAGGCTCCCAAACTGCACTTCCAGTAGAAGACACTTCACTATCTAAACCTGTATACCATCAACAGATGGGCAGAGAGGAACAAATAAGCACTAGCTTCAAAGTCACAGCCACTGGTCCCTGGTACACACTGATGCGTCCAATGTATCTGAAGGCTATGGGCCACCTGGATTGTCTGTCTCATGGGAAATAAAGTTTAGGACACTTAAAATTGTTTAAAAAATGACATGAATTATGAACATTTGAAAAATCGACATCTCTAAATAAATTAGTTCTCTAGTTAACTTCTTGAATTTCTAATAGTTTGATTGGTCATTCCTCCCTCAATTCTAGTCCTATAGAAACAAACTTGAAAATTGAGACCCATTTGTCCCCAGCCTCATCTTTCTCAGGCAAAGACTCTCGGCAGCATGTACAACACATCCATTTGCTGACCTAGCTCTCCTCCTGTGTTCACACCGAGAACTATCTGAATGGGTACTTTGTGGACTCTCAAGCGTCTACAGGTTTACCTTTAACACGCCTGCACGGGCATGTTCACGGATGTGAAAGTGGGCGCGGGCTCCGGAAGGAAGACAGCACACGGGGCCTGCTTCCCAGAGGTGTGCCCAATCCAATGACTTTGCATTAACCTAAGATACTGCTATTCGTGGAACCTCCCTTCCAAATTCAGGCAGATGCTTCCCAAGTCACACAGGAATGGCATGTTCTGACTTGTATGTGTTCTATTATAAAGTGTACCATGTTAATGAAGCTTTGCAAGCATTTTATAAAAATCGTAATGCATTTTATTATATTATGATTTAAGGCATAATATTCAGTGGCATATACATTACAAATACTAAATAACAGTAGAATAATTAAGGAAAGCTCCTCTGTCCTATCTACTTGAACTATTATCTAGGTGATACAGCCACCCCAGCCTCCTGAAATTACCTGGGGCTAACTTGAACTTGTGCTGTCTTGGATAGGCTGCCTATTTGTAAAATGGGAAGAGCTGGACAAGATCATAGTTCAATCCTTCTCAACCCTAGCAGCGTATGATTCCTATGAAAGAGGAAGATTAGATAGAACAAAAATAAGTACGTTACTAAGGGAATGGAAGAATCCTCTACACCTTGAATCATACACAAAAGATTTTTCCCATCAAGGGTAGAAAGGTGGAAAGGTAGTTAGTGTTCCAAAGGCAAAAGACCCCGGAAGGGCAAAAAGGAACAAAGAGTGAGTTCTCTGAAGTTGCCTGGACTGCAAAAAGACTTAACCCTAAAGAAAATAAAGAGTAAGTTAAAGAATCTAGACTGGAATTGAAGAAGAAGGTGGCAAGGTTTGGTCCAAAGCACCATGGAGGCCAAGAGAAACCCTCCCGGCTGTGAGAAAAGAAAGTAGACAATTTAAACAGAACTTAAAAGAGAAAGTTGTAAAATATCTGACCAACAGAAGACAGAATGTGAAGGGTTCACTCAGTATCTTCTAGCTACTAAAACTCCAGTCCATTAATAAATATTTAATATACTTGAAGTCCTTTGTGTTCTGCGTACCAATCAAGTTTTTTATTTCTAAACACTTTTTTTTAGTGTTTCTAGTATACAATCCTGTAAGTCCCTTCTCTAGATGCAGATCCAAAGTATCAAGAAGTAGGATCTTCTACACCAAAACTCCAAGAAATACTAGATTTTCACCAAATCAACCAGGAGCTGGGAGTGACCCCCTCACGATTTGGGAGCTGCAACATGATCACGAAGAGAAAGAACAGGCCCACGGAATCGGGAAGCGACAAAGTGAGACATGGAGCCGTGTTAGAGAGAACTCTCTGGTAAAGAAAAAGATAAACTGAAAATGATGATGTGTGGAGTCGAAAAGATGGGGGAAACAGCGTAAGGAAGGCCACAGGGCTGCTAAGGCGCAAACACCAGACTGATCATTATTTGAAAACAGCAGGAAAAAAATGAAGGTCCACTTTTTTTCTCTCGTTTAAAAAGGGAAACACGAACTAAACTTCAGAATGTACACACACTGCATTTTTACAGTTCTTCTAAGGCTCAAGTCCAGGAAAAAATCTATACCAAACACAGAAATTTTAGTAAAAATTCAAAGTGGCAACTCTCTGAATGGAGGGACAAAGCAAGGGGTGGGCTTTCCCTAGAGCTGATTACTTCAGCCTGATACGCACAACTTCTGTCTTAATTTAGGAAAGATACCAGAAATCGCTAGAATTGCAGAAGTCTTATTTCCTTTATTCATTCCAACCTAATTTTGCTTTCATTACACTAGAAAAACAAACTAAACATTTGAGGAAAACTTGGCATCCATTAAAAAAAGAGCACTAAGAAAATGCTAGAACTGTTTTTATATTATCAAACAAAGAATCCAGGTGATAATACAGTTGAACCTTGAACAAATTAGGAGTTGGGAGCACCAACCTCACCCCTGGAGTGAAAAATCTGCATGTGGTTTTTAATTCCCAAAAAGTTAACCACTAATAGCCGACTGTTGACCAGAAGCCTTACTAACAACAAAAAGTTGATAAACACATACTGTATAACCTTTATTATATACTATATTCTTATAATAAGTAAGCTAGAAAAAAGAAGTTTTTTTTCCAAACTGTGCAAACCTCCAAAAACTTGTCCAATGTATTTATTGAAAAACACCCATGTTTAAGTGGACCAGCACAGTTCAAACCCATGTTGTTCAAGGATCAGGTGTAGTTCCCAAAATATGGAATAAGAACGAGTGTCACCATGTACAGATTTTGTGGAACCTGTAGGCTTTCCTCCTAAGCACCCAGAGCATGCATTTTGCTTATCCTGTTTCACTCTGCAACATCCCAGTGAGTGGAGATGGAGGCAGGCACCACATCAATTCTATATACAGGGGGACTGTGACACAGAGAGAGTACATGAATTACCACAGTCAGTGACTGAACTAGTACAAAAAACTCTGATGTCTTCATTTCCAAACCAAACATGTCCTATGGGTAGATCCCAATCCATCAAGCATTTGTACATCAAAGGTTTGGAGGCATGAGATATAAATGTGAAACAAGCAAACACAGCCACGTAGTAATCGGTGATATTATGACCTTAATGTAAGTGAAATAAAGCTGTGAAGTCATACCAAGTGGACTACGTTTTTATAAAAATCATACCTGTATTACAACTGGAAAAAAAAAATCACTGTGCATTAACAGTCTAATGGTAAATCTAGATGCAGATTTAGATCTAGGCAACCAAAAACTTAAACAAATAATACAGTAATACCTCTATTAACAAAGACACTGTGTATGGATGACAGGTTTTCTTGGTGGACTTTTATGGGGTCAAAATAGAAAAGACACCAGAATGCATTTCAGAAGGTCACAAAGTGGAAGATAAGGGTCATTACTCTATACTAGCTAAATCAACATAAGATTTGCCAGATGTTATAGAAGACACATCTGAGACCCTTAGGGGGAAGGGAAAGGGGTCAGAGTTAAGATGTGCAGAGATGAGGGAGACACCTTGACTACAGTCATGGAGAAGAAGGAATGAAGGCAGGCTGTTTGGGGTGGAAGGCTTTTCTGGAAGGAGCGATGTTAAAAAAGGACACATTGGATCCTTCAATGTGACAAGATAGGGGCCATCACACTCTTTCTGCTTGGATTAGAAGAGGAGAGGTACTGAGAGGTACAGAAATGTGTGGTGTTCTTTAAAGGGGTTCAAATGCAGAGTATGCCAACAAAAGTATGCTTAGATGCCTGCAGAAAGGAGATGCTTCAACAGCCAGCCCATCAAAGCCACACCTTGCCACACACACAATTTTGCCTAAAGGACGGGCTCCAATTGACCTCAGTGTTGTGTGGACCAGAAAGCCAATACCACATTAAGAATTCAAACACATCAACTCTACTACAAACGAACCAGGTTCCCAGAGGATCTGTTAATCGAGGTATCACTGTATGAGCCTCACAACTATGTGCACAGATGACTCAAAATGCTGTGCCATTACAAGTGAACAAGCTGTACTTGCATGTAAGTGAACGATACTGACCGAAAACCAACTCGCCGGGTGTAGTGCAGACAGTTCTTGGTGACGTGGGTCTGGAAGTGCACCGATCTGCAGATGGCCCCGCATTCAGGGCAGGTGTAGGGAGATTTGTGCTGATGGATTCTCTGGTGGGATGCATAACTGCACTGGTTAGGAAGCAGCATCTGGCAGATAGTGCAAGTCTTCTAAATAAACCAAAGGGGGAAACAGGGTTGGTCCTACAAAGTAATTTCTAATATGCAAAGAAGCTTGGTTACACCTCAAAATAATTATGCACTGCTTATTTCAAATACCACTATAATTGATTCTCAGCTCAAGGAAATGCAAACTTGAAAGTTAAATGTCCAATGAAAAATTCCTTACCCTGCAAAAGAAAAATAGCATGTACTACGTAGTCAGGCACATCCCAAAGAATGAGGCAAAGGGAATGTTAGCCTTAGGTAGAGTTCCAATTTTGCTACTCTTACAATTTGTTTAGTGTAATGAAGAGGTATTCTTGCAGGCTGTTAGCAAATCAGCTTTAATGTGTAATTACAAGTTCATTGGGCATCTATCTTGACAGCAGTCACAGTTCCCACAACTCACAAAAAACTTTCTCCAAAATAATAAAATTAAAGAGGGGCTAATCCAGTTTGCCTTTTCTTTTTTTTAGCTGCTTCAGTTATCTGAAACCTGGAACACGGGGATACAAAACAATCGCCACAACAATTTGTTCTTTTTTGCACTTGAATTGGTCTTTAAATGGATGAACTGGCCATTATAAGGTTTCTAATTACAGTTAACTCAAGTCCAGTTACATAAATTTAGATATTAAACTGAAACTGATAGTGCTTAAAATCTAATCACATATAAAATAAAATGAAGACTGGAATCATCTTTGGAAAAGGCTCTACATTAACATACTAGGAAAATCTGAAACACACACTTTTTTATCCCCTTAGATATAAGTACTAAATATGGCTGATTTTTAAAACTAAAACTAAAACTAAAAACTGAAAGTAAATATAAACTGAGGACTATTCCCATTTCAAAAATAAACCCAAGAGAGCATGAGATAAAATAGGTTCCAATACTATTTATACTATTTAAACATTCATCCAAGTATCTACTAACTTCTAAAATGTACAATTTGTATTAAAGTCAGTGAAAGCAAGCCTCAAAATAGATTCCAGCTATGACTTAAAATGATCTTTTATGTTGACAATAGTTATAAAATTTTAAAAGGAGGTTTTCTTTTAGCATTTGAATCAGGCCCCCAAAATTAGTTTAAAGTCAGATTCTGAGTAATTTATACTAAGAAAAATAAGAAACTCACTTGAAAATTCATTTGTGGTTTTCTCCTAAAAGGACTAAAATACAAATTTTTATCCCACAAAATGTTTATTATGATCACAAAATAAGAACATTACAAGCAGCTTTGATGAGGTTAGCATCATTAAAAAATAGCATTCCTTTTCTAATAACAGACATTCCAAAGATTAAGATAAGCCACAACAAGGAAAAGTAGATTCAATCATAAGACCCTGTTGACATCAACATTATCACAGGTTATCATTCATTTCTTTGAGCTAAAATCTTCGGTTTACTTTCACCACACAGTCATTAATCTCAGGAAAGAATGTCTGATTTTCTACAGGCATCTCAGAATGTCTTACACTAATTCAGGAATAAAATCAATATATTCTATACTAAAGTTAAAAACAATGTATTTATATAGATAAAGTATATACTGACCCCATTCCACCATAAACCAAGGGATGAACTAAGTATTTTAAATAAATACATTTAAATACAACATCTCATTGAATTTTCATAATAATCTATGGAATAGGTAATATTATCTACATTTTACAGATGAGGAAATGAGGTTCGGAGAAGTTAAGAAACTCTCTAAGGCCCCACAGGTCTGAAGTGGGAGAAGCAGGATTTGACCCGGGTGCTGAGGATTCCTAATCCCCAGACCTGTGATGGAGAGCTGGGGGCGGGGGGCAGAGGGCTACAGGAAAGAACCAACTGAAACACACAGGAGAAAAACTATTAGCAAATACACCTGAAAGCCAATGAGGACCATTACGTTAGGCTTAGAAGTGACCCACTTTCCACAGCTTCTCTTTTATCTAAAGCAATGTTACTGTACTATTTTTACAATAAGGAAGAATAGCAACAAAAATAAAAGAAAATCTAAAAAGGAGACAAAGATTGTGTTCGACAAAAACTGAAAAGATTTCCATGTTATCTCTCATCAAGGTATGTTGACAGATATCCTTTGTAATACATATAAAATCCATAAAGAATTACTTTACTCTTACCTACTGGACATGCATATATTTATAATACATGTAACTATGGATGTATTAGTGGGTCAAAGGATTTTGTTACTAGCAGCTTAACTAAAATAATATCAAAATCATACAAGAAGAGCTTTTAAGAATTATTGTTTGACAATAGAAATCTCTAACTAAGGACTATGAAAAATGTTTTAGAAGGGTAACAGCATCAACTAAGTACCAATATTTGAATACCAACCTCTCTTCATACCAGTTCCTGGAGACGGGAAGCAGTCCCTTCATACGCACTGTGTGGAGGGGGCCCCAGGAGAGCTGGTGGCAGCCGTTCTACCCTCTTGCCACCCCCAACAGCCGCTGACCAGCTATAGGATTTGCACTCATGCATTACCATCTGCTGAGGGTCCTCACCCACTTGACATGCATTAGTACAAGAAGTGGGAGCAAGCATGGACTAGAGACCCAAATCAAAGTGCTTCCATATTTTCCAACTACTGAAATGGGAGAATTCAGTCACTGAAGAATCATAATGGATAAAAACCTTATCTTCAGTTGATAAATACAGACGCATATATACCCATACACAGCACTGTATATACTCCCACACTGCTCTTTGTTTACCTGCTTCCCTTCCTCACCTCCACTCCAGTTTGAGTAAAAGCAGGTTTCGGTTGTAGACAGACAGTGCCCTCCTTGGTGCTTGTATGTATACCAGCAGTTTTAAACTCCCATGAAAGCATTCACCTGCTGTACTACCAAGTTTTAGTCACTCTCTCTGTTTTAGATAATGTTATCCCTGCTTCCTGAGATGCAGGTAATGGATGATCACAGCACTAAGACGTATATCCCATTAGGTCTCTGGTAGACTGATTTTGTGGAAATGACACAAGTTCCCTGAATTTGGGGAGCGTATTGAGCACAGGTAGGCAGGATTTCTTTGTGGTCTAAAAGAATCTGACCTTCCCTTTTTTTTTTTAATCAAAGGAACTAAAATGTTTCTTGAAACTCTTACTCTCTACACGTCAAGGAAAGAACTTACAAGAGGATAAAACCATTAATGTGACACTACTTGCCTTTTGAATAAAAAAGTATAATAAAATGCACTTAAACGGTTTCATGTGTCTTCTGACATTTTACTTCTGTCATCTGAGAATGTGTAAGTTTTTTCAGTACTTTGCTAATAAGCAGCTCATTTCTGCTCTGGGGCAGACTCATTTGCTCAGAGAATGGTTATTTTTAAAGCAAGATACTACTTTTCAATAGTCAAGTGACACATGAAAGCTATAGGAAAATACAGCTGAAAAGTAATCACATTCCTTACTTGACAGCTACTCATATTACATCTTGTCTCCAATCCTGGTGCAGAAATCAATGGCTGGCACTCAATCAAATGCAGGCTGGGAGGAAAGGGAAGAGGGCCTGAGGCCCCAGGAAGGACTCAGAGATGTCCAGGCTTGGCATCCTCTTTGTATACATGAAGAATTACCTGAGTAACAGGGAAAACTATTCTGTTTTGGTTCCTGATTTAGGGAGAAAAAGAGCCTGGGAAAGTACAAGGGGGGAATGAGAGAAAGGCTGGAGATATGAGAGTAAATACAGCACATACTTATGCTTATATTCCAAACAAACCAAAAGCCTGCAACAACCTGAAACACTGAATTAAAAAGGTAAAAACACCGCCAGTTTAACAGTCGGCCCAGATGATAAGGAAATTGTTACTGCCAGATTAACAGCAAAGTTTCTCAATATTCTAGCTACAGTATAATTATCAAAATAATGATAATAATAAAGTATATAGATTTGTTTTCTTGCTTTCACTTTCATCCAATTTCACAATGAGAACACAGAGAGGGCGTTTTGTTTCTGATCTCACTTGAACGGGAATAACACAAGGCCATCATTATGGCACATATGACTATATATACTTTCGTTCCCAAAGTCAGTTGTAGTAGTTTTGTCCTTAAATCATTCTGCTCCACTAAAAATTGCTACTAAGGGTTGATAGTTAAATGAACAAATTTGCAAAAAAAGGTATAGCTGACACATATAATCTACTCAGATGACAATCAATGGAGAATATAGGTAAATGAAGGGTTGATAACACTAAAATATAAACTGAAGCAGGACTAATGTGACCAAGCTAAAATAAAGCACTTAAGAGAGCTAGACCAAAAACCAAGAGTCTTGAATCTTCAGCTAATAATGATCTTCTGGGCAGGTGAGGGAACTGAGGCGGGCTCCCTGGTTTCCAGAAGAAGCTGCTTGAGCACAGTAGGTCTAGAAATGAAAGTTGGCTGGGGCTGCTGAAGATAATTTCACATATTTGGCATGTTGTGTTAATAATGATGCCCAGAAAGTTCCTGAAACTAAACTGAATCAGTAATCCCTGAAAATGAGGACCATCGCAGATAAACCACCTTCACCTGCACTCAAAGCTGATCTGCACGGAGCCTGGGAGCCCATCCTGTGGTCCCTGCCACTGTAAAGTGCTATGCTTCTGTATCTAGGTTATCAGCATGACAAAGCAATAAAGAAATCTTGCCTTGAGTCCCCAGTTCTGCCATTTGTTTCTTCAACTGTAAAAAGGGTTGACCAAAAGACCTACAATATCTTCTGGTATTATGGCTGGTGTGGGGTCCATAGGAAAAAAAACTGACGTTATCAATTAAAAGCTTACAGCATGCACTTCCCACAACGTACTTTGCTAAATTTAATCATTGGTTTTACTGAAGGGTGGAAGCAATGATGTCCCAATACATTTAAAAATCAATTATTAAAACTACAGTTGTCAGCTCTTAAGTACTTTATGGAGCAGAGCGAAGTTTCTCTAGCCCCTGCATCTACTCTTTCTCTCAATGGGCCCCAAAGCAGGGATTATCAATCAGACAGGTTGGAATAAA